TTAACTTGTGGAACTTAATTATTTATATTTTGATTTTTTCCCTCGTGAAACTTTTACTTTACAAAGTTACATTCATTCTTAAATTTTTTTAAGGCTGATTAATTTGACGAAAATAATGTCAAACTATGAATTATTGACGTTAATATTAAACGAAATTTAATTTCGTTATTCGTTTGAATGAAAAAAAAATATGGCTCTTATACCCTCCTTTGCAAGCTTTGAATATGTAAAATTTTGTTTTCCATACTTGTAAGCTAAATAACTTCGTTAATGGACTCGCTTTCTTAAAAAGAAATTACAGATTATTATTCATCTATTTAATATTCTTCAGATGATTATTTTTTATAAAAATATATTATATTAATTAAGAGAAGCCACACTACTGCATTTGCTTTTAGGATTAAATGGCTTACTACGACTAATTAATTATTATTTACATTACAACATATAAATGTTTTATAAGAAAACCTTGCAATAAATATATAAATAGCGATAATCATTAAATCATATTTTAACAGGTAATTATGTAAGGTAACAGAATAGCGAGGTACAACACTGCTATTTTGATACATAGCATGGCAATTTTTTTACACTCAAGACTTACTCAATCTTCACGTACTGTTTGTACCTAAGATTGCTAAATGAAACTGTTAAAACTACCGAAGTCTAAATATTTATATAAGACTCAAAAAACGGAACTGTAATATCTATGATATTAATAACATAATGTCATGCCGGTGATATTTTGTTATTTTGATGTTTGAATTTTAGTAAAGTTAATTATTGTTTCTATTTTGACAACTCTATCTTCAAAATTGAGACTCAAATAATATACGTGTATATATTTTAGATCTAACTGCCATTTATAATTAATCGTTTTTGATAAAATTTTATAACAACGTAGAAACAATTTAGTTATTTTTCTATTGACATGTTTAACCGCGAAACAATATTCAAATTGTGATAGAATAATAAAGGCGCTTTATAAAAATAATAAGAAAAACGATCACGTTGGAAGTTGATACTATACAATCAAATGTCTTTTATTTTATAAGCAAGATAAACATTTATACATAAAGTAATGTATAAATCATATACACCATAATATGTTAGTACAAAAAATATTTCTATAGAAAACATATTTTTTCTATTCATCAGTAAAAGGTAGAAGTCATTGATATAGAATTATTTACAAGAGAAATGCATTGAATGATGGTTATATAACTATTTTACTCGTAATATAACTTCTAGTGGAAAACCCAATAGGCTCTAGAAAATTTTAACGCTAGTCTAAACAACTAGATCCGGCCTTTGAGATATGTCAATTATGAAAGGAAAATTAATTTGCGCGCCCTAATAAATTGTGTGTTAGATGCATATTTTTTTGTTTTTATTAAGAAAGGGTAAGGTTTTTTTTTAAGACGCAGGGAACGTTCGGCACCTAAGTACAACAATGTATATTTTTTAATTGATCGAAAAAAAGGCATAAGCTCATCGACTTTAAAGAACGAATATTCTAACTTGAGAATTTTCACTTGAAAATTAGTCTTGTTTTGATATTAACTTTAAAAAAGGTAAAAAATATTTTAAATCCAAAAAATACTACATATGATAAATTTTTTAACAAGTTTTGTAAAAATATGATTAATAGATAAAACACACATAACAATTTCAAAATATTTGTTATATAAAAAAAAGCACAGATCTTTGTATTATTAAAACGAATATATTTTTGACTTTCTGTTCTAAGTTTAATATTGCTATAACATTCATTACCATAAATACTTTATAAATATAAATGTAAGTGGAAAAAATAGATTTCCTAATGCTAACGTCTAAGACAACAAGTTTTTTCTACTTACGTTTCGACATGTCGACTTTTCTTTCTTAAATTTTATTACGTATAATGCGAGTACAAAACCGGTCGTCGTGGAGATCCTTGGTAGAGACCTATGTCTTGCAATGGACGTCTTTCGGCTGATATGATGATGATGTATCCGAGTAAAAATATTGTATCTTTGTTTGCAAATTGGCGCCAGTGTGCAGCACCTAGTATATTTATATGTATATTATTTATTTTGTAAAATTGGGCGAGATTAATTTTAGGTGTATTCATGTAGAAAATGAAATACAATAATCAGTGAAACGAATCAGGTTAAAAACATAGATAAATTAATTTAAAGTTTAATATCCCATGTTAATATTTAACTTATTTCTTATATCAAATAATAGTACATCACCTAACTTTATAGAATTCTTTGATCCTGTCTAGATGTCAAACTTGTACGTACATCAAAAGTTTTCCAACGCCGACAGTTTCACGAATAAAAGCCAAGCATGTGAAGCATTTATTCAAACAGGATTTCCTTTGTGAAGACAATGTTACGTTCAGTGTAGTTCAACAATATAACATTTTTAGATAGCTGTCATTAAATACACGTCAACTTTGGATATTAAATGAATAATTCATACGATCAATCAGAAGGTTAATGATATAGTATAAATATTCACAACAAGAACATGATAAAATTCAAGAAAAATTGCAACATGACTTTGAATGAATTGGAAAACTGTTCAATAGAAAAATTGTACCTTTTTGGACGGAAAATTTATTCAACGTCATAACTTTTTATTTGCTAACGGTCAGAAGACAGATGCTCTTACGAGTTCTTTACCTAATGAGCAGATTGTTGACTTTCAAGTATTTGGAAGATTGGAAGTTATTTTATTTACGTCGTATAAACATTCGTGTCCCAGACAGTGTAACTTTCAGCAGTGTTTATTACCATTCGAATAACTAAATTGAGTTATACGTGTACAAAATATATATCTTCGTCATTTGATTGAAAGTGATGATTTCTGGAACTTCTAGACATAATAAACTTCTTTCGGCGTCATGTAAGATCTTAAATATGTATATAATATTTTGACACACAAATTATTTGTGTAAAGTTGTTTATCATCAAATCATACAATATTAAGAGTATTTTTCAAAAATATACTTTCCTATTTTCGTGTCTGTATATGAATTTAAAAATTTATTGATCGACTCATTAACAAGAAATCTAATGCCACTAATTTTGTAGTCATAGTGCCTGAATAATTTGAACTTAAAAGCGTTCGTTACTACTTTTATGATAAAATATAGGCTACCAGAGAATACTATCAAGAAAGAGGACCAGAGAATACTGGAAATTAAATTTACTAGCTCTTAGTGTCTCGTACCATAAAATCAGTAACCTTAATACCAGTTTGTGACGACAAACTAAAAGTCGGCAGTTTCTGGATATATCATTCTAAGATATATTAATCTAAGTTTACGTATACATCAGAAAATCAATTAATACAATACGTTGTTACCATGTGTTTAGTACGTCTTTAGAAAACTCATATTAAAAAGAAACCAGATCGAAGCTATGAAATAAATCTTTATATTAATGATTTTTTTAACTTTCATTTCACAGAACACAATCAAATATGCAGTAGCACATGTGACGAAGCCAAATGTAAAAAACATATTCACCCGCGAGTGAGCTGGAAATTTTAAAACAAAAGATTTCATGAGGTGGAATTTAAATAATAATTCTACCATTCACGACTAAAAACTTCAACAAAGAACGACTTTTAGGATGCAAGATTTAGTGACCGTCTTTGTACCTAGTTCGGTAACTTAGAGAGAATTTCCTGAAAACCTGAATTGAATCTCGCCCAGGACTTTAACCATGTCACGCGCGTTACTAAATCAAATTTAAACTCAGTAGTAGGAGAATTATTTTTTAAGTGCATTAGACGGAAACTGGCAGAGGAGCAGCGGTAAGTAATTAATAAGCGTTACTTATTGGTGCATTTTGATACTTAACTCATTAAATCTCTTGCTGATTATGTATTTAAAACATTTAATAATTGAGAGGTCACAGAGAACTGGTTATCTTCTATATTCGACGCCTCCTGATGCCTTAATATTAAATATTAAAAAAACTTAATCTACGAAATAAAGCTTTATATTTCATAGCCGAAAGCAATATTTTACACATGTGCCATTAATAAAGAAAAATAATGGGTACCATAATATTATCTCAGAGTCGTTAAAGCTATTAAATTCTGAAACTTTTCGTTACTACGATACATTTACAAGAGTTCTTTGCTTAATTTTTATTTCTTGCAAAGAGACCACATTTAATTTCTATGCGAATAGTATTTTTAGATAGACTGGATAGGACTCGATTGTGATTTCAACCATTGGTAGAAGGGGGTGCAGCCACGGTTGGTGAACGCACTATCTCAGTAACAGTTTATTCACCTTAAACTTGAAACTATTATAATTGGAAAGAAACAACTTACGTATGCAAACGGCTCCAAACCTCTGCTATGCGATACAGATGCAAGGAAGATCCATAATGAAAAAAATGGAGAGTCGCCATGAGTTAAATAGTGCAATGTACACACTGTCCAAAATATATCCTAAAAATACTTACCTATAATATATATAAATTATCGCAGGAATGAGTGAAATTATGTATAACAGCAGCAGACAGGATGAACAAAATATGCGAAACTTTACCACCGTCTGCGATGCTCCAAAGTATCTAAGTTATTTAGACTTTAAAACACCTCTCGCTTAGACAAGATATTTACCGAACTCAACAAACAAAAAGATAAATATCAAGTAGTTAGAATAAAGTTCGAAAATCACGTCTTTGGATTGAATTTTTTTTTTTTGTAGTTTTTGTAGGGCTTCTTTGTTCTAATATATAAGATTTTTTTTTGAAAAGGTAAATGTTTAAATAAAATCCAGGTTCCATTCACAAAATGTATTGCTTCAAAATATTTAAAAGCACAATAATGCTGAAATAATATCCTAAACTATTAATACATTCGAACGATAAAACTCAAATTGCTTTGTCAAGCAAAATCAATATAAGTATGCATGAAGCAGTGCTTACAATTTAATACCATTTAATTTTAATATAAAATTTACATTCTTAACATAGATTTCTTCGTTAGTTATTTTCTTCCAAGTCCTGAAAAGCAAAACAGTAATATAAAAACTATTAAGTATACATTTTAAAATAAATGCGACTTTTCTCTCAAACGACAGTCGAGTAATTAACTGTGGACGAAGGATACGTAAAAACACTTTAGAAGCTTTTAAAGGATACTTTACTATAATTAAAAAAATAAACAGTTTCATATTTGAATAATAAAATTTCATTAGCAAAATTTTTTTTTGTATGTGTTTAACAATATAAGAGTAATCAAAATATATCGCGTTATTTATTCCATTAAACTGGGCTCCAGTTTGGGCGCCAGAAATTGTTCTGTTCTCAATGTTAGGTAAAGTTAAATAATTAAAGAGCAAGTAATTTAAATAGCTCACAGTTGGATCGCAATCGGCACAGTGCCACGAATAGCCGCGTTTCTTCGGATTCTTGTTCAGCGGCGGCTCCAGACAAGTAAAGTGGTACCGCTTACTGCATTCGTCGCATCTAAATAAAGACAATGTTTATGCAAACGCTTCAGAGTTTTTTCTTCCGCAAAACTTCGAATTGTACGGAATTATTTAGATAGAAAATATTGTGGTGATAATGAAAAAACTTTTTCCTAGAAATATAAAAGATTTTATCCGCATTGCAGTTATTTTGACTGGTACTTTTATTCTGTGATCATGTAATTTGGGGGTACGTGGTTATTCAATGTTAGAACATCTAATTTGTTATGCGTGCTAATGTCTGGCGTCTAGCCAGCTAAATGGAATAGGCTTTTTAGTACTTACGATGTTAGAATACAGAATTTTATGTAACATTATATATATTTATTTATTCATAAATAATGTCATATAGTCGCTTTACATACATTTTGGATGACGTAAATACGATTAATTTAGAAAAACTGAGAAGTTCATATGCCACCATCACCAACAGGCAAAAATGATATAGTTTTGAATAGTTTTAATTCATAAAAACGAATAATCCAAACTTGAAATTATAACCTGTTGAACATCCGCGACATGTACAGTTTCATATGTCTTGTTTGACTTTGAGGACATATTGCTCGAAAATGTTATTTATAAATTTAAATTAGTGACACTTATGAATTAACTAGGGCATGACAATATCAAGTATCTTTCTATACAGTTAAGGTTAAAGTAAACATTTTTGCGGTTCCTGCAAGACGAAGAGTAGAGAATTTTAATGCCATTATAATGTTTGAGTCATCTTTGATTTAATTTGATCTCACCTGACAAGGTTGGTGCTATCCCCCGGTTCTGAACATACATCGCAGTGTGTGAGAGGTGTGGCCGCGGCCCGCGGTGGACGAGATGACATCGAACCACGAACGCGACTCTCACGGGAACGCTGTTATAGCAATTATGGAATATTCAATAATTAACAATCTGTTAGTCTAATTACACGGCTTTGATATGATTTATAGACAAGTATATAACGATATAAATGCAGAAGACAGCTGATAGCCATTTATTTCAACACCTACCATCCAAACCAATTTAACTGCCAGTAACTTTTCCTTTATTTGGTCCCCAACAACAAGAGACTTAAGATAATAAAAAAAAATAAGAACGGAATAAAAGTTTTTCTTCAAACAGACTTATAAGTTTAGAAGACAGACGCACTAAATGTATGGAGCATTCTATTCTATTGTATAGGTTCTTTTATGATTTTTATGGTACACATAGTAATTGTAATAAAATTTATTATTATATAGAAAAACATAATTCATCTACCATCACATAATTAACAAAATAGCCTGTATATAAATAGACTGTCACTTCAGACTGACACGTTATAGTTACAAAACAATTAATCCAAGGGTTCAAGTCAAACGTGTCTCGAAAATTAAATTACTCATTAATTATTACACGAGGATAAAATTAATAACAAACAAAATATTGCCCAAAGTTATTATTACTCATAATATATTGAAAAATCTTTGTATTTTTTTAACGTCTGTTTACATATGATATCGAAATAACAAGACCAATATGGTTTTATTGATTTTATGCTAACATGAGTCAAGTAAACTTATCAGACTTTCATAACATTATTTTCTATTCGGTAACCAGAAATTAAATTCACGCAAACACAGACCAGTTAGTGGGAAAACTAACTCGGGCGACAGATGTTCTCGTATCCACTTCATTATGAAATTCTACTAATTGCTGGTAAATAAGAAAGAAAAATGGCAGGAAAATAATTAACGAAGCAAAAAAATTACAAGCACTGCGGTAAGTAAACACGCTAAGGAAAAACGTTCCGATATACTACATTAATAGGGAATACGAAATTTAAAATAAGAGAAATAAATAAATAAATAAATAAATGATTATCACGTAATAGTCTCACAACAAATTTAGATTCTCACACTGCTTACGACAAGTTTACCTGTTTTATCAACATTAATACTATAAAGGACGCAGATTTATGAATGGAATATTGGAAACTGTTCGTTAGTAGTGTAGCGATGGAAACGCGTGGTAAGCATAAAGTATAATCATGTGTCATGAAATGTTATAAGGATGCGAAAATATAATGAAGAATAAAAAATCGTGAGAAAGCTTTGGTCGAAAGTTCTTTGAATAGAATATACTTTAAGGCTCAGCTCATGATAATTTTATTGATATTTTTTTCTTTTTATTCTGCATAAAAAACTTATGCAAATTTATAAAAACGTGTGAGTATATTTATATATTATTAAATCTTTACATAAAAGAAAGTCGTATTAGTTATACGGTTATTTATAACTCCAGAACAGCTTTAAAGGTTATGCTGAGAATTGGTGGAGAGATAGGTTAGAATAAGGAAAAAGAGATACTTTTCAAGCGATCGAAAAAACAAAACAAAATAAATTAATAAAACCCAAAATCTTCTTATTTACTGCCATTAATGAGAAATAGAGTTCGCCCGGTCAACTATACATTTCTCATTTCTGAAGTAACGCAGACAAAGTCGCTGGCAAAATCTAATAGTATAGTAATGGTAGAAACTAAATGCAATTTTAGTTGTTTAATGTACGTGTACGCTAAGCGTTCAATCTACTATGGTAAACCGTAGCAAGTCCATTAGAAGCGGTAAATTTGAAACTGGTTACTTTGAGATTTCACGTTTATAGGAGGTCCTATACGGGTAAACTCTGAATATGTAGAGAGTATCTGAACAACACTGTTGGATGACTAGTATGCGGGTCTTAAATTGTGGTAAATGTAGGTCGTAATACGAAGATTTTTAATCTTATGTATAAAGTTCTCATATCGACAGAGAACTCCGAAACGGCTTGACCGATTTTGATGAAATTTTGTGAGCATATTAAGTAGGTCTGAGATTCGGCCAACATCTATCTTTCATACCCATACATAAGGGTTGTTCACCCTTAATTTTTTTTTCTGACGAATTTTTTTGTTTTTATTTTTTTCATTACGTAACATTAAAAAATACATACAACCCAAAAAATTTACTTTTTTATCACCAACCCCCATTTTTTATATGGCAAAAGAACGTTGGCCGGCTCAGTTAGTTTTTTTATAATACATATATATACTAGGAATTTGATACAGTAACTTCTTGAAGATTTGTTATTATTGAACTTTAAGCATTTAAACGAATGAGTTTGCGATTCGATAATTTGAAAAACAATATCATAAGATGGGACGTTGTACCAATTAATATAAATTGAGATCTTCAATCAAAGGTTGCAACTTAGGCTTGCCTAAAGTGGTTCCCAAAGTTGTAAAGTTGAACAAGGCACTTTGCAGTTAGCGTTTGAGTTTGGCTAAGTTAACACTTCCAATTCACTGAAAGAGAATAGTGTCTTGGGGATTCGGAACCACGGCTTTGACTTAAAATGGCTTTAACGAGATCAATATATTAACTAGTTTGAAAGACTATACATCTTTTGACGTGACTCTTGATGAAACTTACTAGTTTTTGGAATTTCGTTTGATACGCTAATTAAAGTTGAAAGCCACTAATAGTTTATCTTAGTTTCTTGACAATTGTCAAGATAAGTATATGAGTAGTAGAAAATGGTATTTCGTCAATACGATTTTCTTTCACCAAACTGTATGTCATTTTAATTATTGATACTATATTTTTTAGATCCTAAACTACCCTAGATCTGTTAGATATATGAACCATGAAAGATGAAAATAATATTGAAACGAATGTGACCACTGTCCAAAATAAACAATTTCCTGTCCAAAATAAATAATTTTGTAATTCTTGGAGCTCAAACAGAAATTGTTTTCAAGAACTAGATTTTAATAGGCTAATAATATTGCTTTGCCACTTATTTTCTAAGGTATATAAATCAAACATACCACTTGAATATATTCATTTCAAGTATTCAAACAAAAAATCTTCGATAAATTTATATGTTAATATTATTTTACCTTTGGCTTCGTTGAGACAGTAGGTACGACCTCTACTGGTTTTTCCTCTTGAGGTAGCAGCTTGTAAATATAGTCACGAATTGAACAACAAACACTTTTTTTAGACAAATTGATGTTAAACATAATACACATTACCTATTTATGTTGTAGTTTTAAGACGGGTATAAATTACGCTTAATCAAAACACTGGTTGGAAACAACAATGAGAGAATATAAAAGTGTACATATATAATATCCAATGACGTAAAAAAGATATAAAAATATGTACGTCATACATTTGTTGTACAAAAACTTCCTTTAATCACGATCATATAGTATCCACCCTTTATATATAACGCACACAAGGACAATATTAATCCAACTAATATTATAAATGCGAAAGTAACTCTGTCCGTCTGTCTATCTGTTACGCTTTCACTCCTAAACCACTGAACTGATTTTAATGAAGTTTGGTACAGAGATAGAGTTAACCTTGAGAAAGAACATAGGATAATTTCCATCCCAGACTTTTGAAAGGTTCTCTTGGACCGCGATACAACCGAACTCCACGCGGGCGAAGCTGCGGGCGGAAAGGTAGTCACATATATGTATTAAATACTCACAGACGCGGCGAGCTGGTCAGCGGAGGGAGGGGAAACAGCCTGGGGCGGGGAGGGGGGAGGCTCGGTCTCACACTGCTGTAGAACAAATAATAAATGTATATTATATAAAAACCGCCTTCTAAACACTAATTTACTCTCAAAGCATTTTTTGGTACAACTGTTGGAATTTCTTTAAATATATTCTTAATCGGAGATGAAAGTTATTTTGTATTAATAATATTTTTATTTGACGGAAAAGTGTAAAAAATTTTGATATGAAACTTTTTTATTACATTGAGTTAAAGATGTACGTTAATAATGTATGTATCAGTGCCTACTGATTACAGGCCTATTCTCTCATGGAGAAGATTAGACCAGTAATTAATAACAAAGTTTGCTCAAGAAGGGTAGGTGATTTCAAACTTATAATTATGAAATTATAAGTCCTGGTTTCCTCACGATGTTTTCTTCGCCGTCTGTCAGTGGTGTCTAAATACTCTTAGAAAGTATATATGACTCGGAAAAATCACATTGGTACTTGTCAGGATCGATCCCGCGACCTCGTACAAGAGAGGCGGGCCTCTAATAACTAGGCCATTAATATTACGTATTAATGTATTAATATATTATTAATATAAATTATATACCTTGGATATCTTCTTTATAACGGCAGGCGGTGGTCCATCATTGCTGTCTGTGGGCACGTAGAACATCTGTGTATCTAGAGAACCATCGGGTTTAGGTATAGGTTTTATCTGGAACAAATGCACACATTTTACACTCCTATATCTAACATATCAAAAAAATTATTAATACAATTATATTTTGGACCATCGAAAATACGTGAAAGTTTTAAGTAGCACTCTACTGTATATCGTTCGATTGTTTTAGCTACCAAGCTATAAAGCCATCAATATACATAGTACCTTGATAGTAATCCTTGGATGTGGTGTATCAGGATTCTCTATGTCCTGAGTCTTCTTCTTCCTCTTGTGTTTGTGTGATTTCGTCGGTGATCGTAACAGATCAGGTGAATATCTAGACCTGTGTTTCTCCTTCCTTCTCTTTCTATTAGCTTTGTACATCGCTATATCGGATGACAGGTTCGCTAGTGTATTTTCTATGGAGCTCTCTATAGTCTTGCTATCTCTTTCTTTCGGTTCATTCAATAGCGCCGAGAATGAGAGGTTCTGGGAAAAGAAGCTCGGTTCTTTAGGCGGTATGTTTGTTGAGTCGTTTGAGTGATCGTTGTGTGAGTCGCTGGGACTGTCCGCTACTATCGGTGTGATCGACATGAGAGGAGTGTTCGTTAGTATGGGTGATGTGAAACTTCTTTTATGTATCTTCTTAGCTGATATTTCACTCTCTCCGCCGGATGTCGAGGAATAATCCTTTTTGGATTTCGACTTTTTCTCCTTTTTCACCTTAACTTCGTTTCCTTCCGGACAATCGTTGGTGAACTCGAACGGTTTTATCGTGACTTTTATGGGTGATATATTCTCTGTTGATAGGCTCATCTTTTTCTCGACCTTCAAAGTCTTTTCTATCTTAGGTTTGGGTGGTGAGTTAGGTACGGAGCCCGGACTCAGTGGTTCCGTTACTATAGCTCCGTCTTTGCTGTATCGTATTCGTGAACGACGAGGCACTTTCTTCTCAAGCACTTCCGGTTCCGAATCTGAAGTCTTGTCGCATTCTGAACATTGCCTGTTAAAAAATAAATAAATTATAACACAAACCAACACTAGGTCCATATAAATGAACGATAATAGAAGAATAATTATAATCAACTTCATTAATAAATGAAACTAATATTTTCGGATTTTACTTCGCGTTTTTATTTTTGATTACAAACTACATACTCCCGACGTTTCGGCTACTTTTCAGCAACCGTGATCTCGGGCAGACGAGACGTGAGTGTTATTTAAATGAGTACTCGCGAAAATCTTAGATCTCATAACCTCATTAATAATTCACTTATTTTATTTTAACAACATTTATGGCAGAAACGAAATATTCACATATGACTATGCCTTAGTTGGCTTTAATAAATTCAATTATCCATTTAAGAAAATGTACGAAATTACAAAAAAAAATCATTCAGTGTTTTTAAATGGAAATAGACATCTAGCAAAAATTTTATGGATTTGTATGAATAATTTAACTGATTGTCATATATTAACTCCAAACGTTCGTACATATGATCAATATAGGTTGACGAGTCGACTTTCAATAGTAAAACTCACCATCCGTATAGCTTCGTCTTTTTGGGTGGTCTTTGCAATGGTGGTCGTAAGCAATGTAAGTGGTAGTGATGTCTGCAAGTATCGCAAGCCGCCATCAGATGTCGCTCACTGGCTCTACCACACGCGAAACATGCGCGAGCTGCTAGCGCGCCGTCACCGCTTGCTGGGAAACAGAAGCATATACAGGGAATAGAATATAGTTAAACAATTAGTTTAAATGAAAGTTATATATGTAGTTTCGGATATAATAGGCTTGTTTTTCATTTTAATGAATACTCGCAAAACTCTTAGATCCCATTATGTGAACCAGTACGGAATGGAAAAGCAATTAGTATTCATAGAAAATGATTCAAAATTAACGACATATGGAAGTACAAAAAAACTACTAACAAGGACTTATTGAGGGTAAAAATAAATTTGCACCTAATTTACCTTCCAATGATATGGAATGGACTATTAATACTTGTAAAAAATACGCCATCAGTAATGATAGCGCCTATGCATATAATTTAATGAATGTAAAAATATCTTTGTACTAATATGCAATGATTAAAAGAATTGCTTGAACAATTAGTGAACAAATTTCTTTTAGGGTCAAATTAAAAATAGACAACAATTTTTTTAAGAGTACAAAATACATACAATAAAGAAACTTTGATCAAATAAATTTATTCAAATCATTCTTTCATTCATTCATTCATCATCAAATCATTGCAATTGCAAGGACAAAAAATCATAATTGTTCTGTTTTCATCATTTTAATCATAATTGTTTAATATATTACATTGCTAAGTGTATTCCAGACGACTATTAGTTATTTAATTGGTATAACCATATTTTATGTGGTTCCTCAAATTATATTCATACTATGGCAGTCACTAACATAAAAATCTGTTATTTTTCATATATATTTTGAACGATATGTCGATAATAATTAATTCATCCACACGTCTATTTGAGTCAAAAAAAAAACGAGCTAAATCATAACTCATATGAATACTTATAAAAATGATATACATCAGTGGCGGCTGTACCTTAAGTGCACACGTGCACTGAACCACCAATTCAAAATACATTTTTAAAATATTACAAAATATTACTTCATCTTTATTTTTAAATTACCATTTTAATATTTATTTTTTAAACATATAAAAACGTAAAAAAATAATAATTTCCTAAATGTGGTCAAAAAATTTGACCGCTTTACTAAAATCATATCGTGCGCTTCGGCGAGTGCACGAGGACGGCTAATACATCTTGTATGAGATACGCATTAATACGCCTGACGAGTGACGCGTGAAACAAAAGGTCGTTCATAGAAATGTACCGAGTAATGAGTCGGTTCTCGAGCGCCGCACGAGCGGCCGGAGGTTACCGAGAGCACCCGATGTATGACGAATTGAGTCATGATTGACATCTCGTTATGTTTTGTTGCATTTTCAAATTTTAATATTTTAATAAAGTGCACCACCGGTTCGATTACCCGCCGGCCGCCACTGATGTACATAGTATTCATAATTAATAAATTTATACAAAATGTTAGTAAAAGTATTGTGTATATATTTATTGTAGGAATATGTGAGTGTAGGAGAAGGGAAACGACATATTGTGCTTTGTCAGAGGAGATCCGAACTCTTTTCGTTCGTAACACGCGTTGGTGTGATACATTAAACGATCGTAGTTTTTCGGAGTATTTTTAAATGTTTCAATTGTGTTATATTAGTATTTCATTTCACGATAAGTTTAAAACGAAATAAAATTATTAATTTAAAAAAAATTTAAAAGTCAATTTCCATCCTGTTTCTAATACATTTATATACAGGGTGACTGATGAATTACTATCGATATTTGAGGACGTGATATTTGACGATCATATATGTCAAAATAAAAATTAATATAACATAAATATTAATAAACTTCTGAGTAAAGTTAACCAAAAGTTATGTAATTAATTACGCATCGTATGAACACCCTACAGATTAGGTATACACACACACACACACACTCGCGCGCGGCGGCGTGTTGTTGTATCAGCACGCCTAGGGCCGGACCTCTCGTTACCGGTCCTGGTAAGCGCCATGATAACGAGGGAAGAGGCCTGGCAGGCCGTTGAACTCTTTGCCAAGACAGTGATGTCGGCTAAAGAAGAGGCAGAGAGGGAGAGGGAGCGAAGCATCGCATCCCTCCCCATACGTCGTGGGAGAGGTGGTCGACGGCGTCGAGCCTACGTGGCGGCTCTGGTCCTCACGTAGCAACATCGTCGCGCGTTGGAAGGAGACTATGGGTGGCGGACGGGGATTTCCGTCGCCCATATTAGAGGGTTAAGTTGATGCGCGTCTCTCATATTTTGAAGTGAGTCAGGACATCTGACAGCCATTGCGTTGCGGTGCGCTATAGCGAACCCGTGACGCCTCAGCGGAGAGGAGTGGAACACCCCGGTTAGGTTTAGTGGGTCGGGGCGTCCCCTTCAGGGGCGTCTGTCCTCCCCCTTCAGGGTTGGACTACCATCCCCACATAACCCGGCCCAGTCCCCGCTAGGTCGGGTATGTGTAGAGCACATTCCCCCGGGTAAAAAAAAAAAATAAAAAAAAAAAAAAAAATCAGCACGCCGCCGCACGCGTCCACACTTGGAACACTTGGAACGTGTCAACACTTTATTTATTTATACGGAAATTTTGTCAAAAATTAAGTATGTACCTATTTTTTTTACATAATTCGAATGAGAATCATGTACCGAGTATGCTCCTTAAATATTGATAGTAATTCACCCGTCACCCTGTATAACTAGCTTTCGGTTATATCGCGTTTCCAAGAGAACCTTTCAAAAGTCTGGGATAAAAACTATCCTATGTTCTTTCTCAAGGTCAACTCTATGTCTATACCAAATTTCATTAAAATCCGTTCAGTGATTTAGGCGTGAAAGCGTAACAGACATACAGACAGATAGACTTACTTTCGCATTTATAATATTAGTAGGGATAGGAAATAACCACTGACCTTCCATAGACGTAGAGAGAACTTTCCCGTGGCGAGCGTCCGGGTTGTCGCTAAGAGGAAAACCAACGCCCATCTTAAGAGCAGCAGCGGTGGGAACAGATATCGACCTGCCGGCCCACGGACACTACACTACTTGACCAACTCTCAGAATATTCGACCCACATAGATATATATAGATATACAGAAATATATGTGTGTAATTATAAATATATCATATTTATTAAGCTACGACGTCACCATTACCCCTACCACAAGAATTCAAAGCCACGTTACTTATGAGAGTTAAATATTTCATTAATGAATCTACGTTGATACTATACCATTTAAACCATTTATTTTGCTTCACATATGTATACATTACAAAGATTATACAGAAAATAATTAAATTTAAAGAATATAGTGTAGGAGCAAGGAGGTTCATCTCAGTATAAGCTGTGCAATTCAGATGGCCCCAGAATATTGGGTAAACAAATACAAATGCGCGCACACGAAAATAAATAAATGAAATTATAATAACAAAAAACTAAAAAGCCCTTATCCTTGAGAGAAAAAAAAACATATCACACAATAAGAAAAACTAATTGAGATGATAAAGGAATGATACAGTAAACAATACGTATTTAGTGTGACGATGCAGACTTGTGGTAAGGTCATGCAATAAGGGATGTATCTGAAGATCATGCATATGTAATCTTGTCTTACATCTGAGAGATCAGTTCAAGTCGCCTAGTATACATTTCATTCTTAACCCATTGTATTTTATATGAATAGGGACCATATACGTATTTTATATTCAAAAGTATCTGAATAGACATACATATACACATACTAATATATTTAATACAATTTAAATAAGTTAAGAAATATACTTATCAAATAGTATATAATTTTAATCATATCGTTATAAAATTCAAATACATATAAGATCATACGTACATACAATTTATACCTTATTCCCATATACATAAAGTCGCTAACCGCATACCGTTTTTGTAACTGTTGAGGCGTGACCTTAGGCGTGGATCGCGGTGGAGCTATGACCAGCGGTCGGTCCTCTAGTATGGCGGGAATTGACTTCTTAGGGCACAGACACACTATAGTGTCATATATCTTCTGTAATCCGAGCCTTGTAGACGCCAACTCGGCTATGGCATCTGTGTTCTCCTTTGAAGCCTGTAAAATATTTTATATGATAGTAATTAATATTAAAAAGACAAGTTAAAACTTGTTAAATTTTATTTAACATTTTATTTTTTGAATTTTTTGTTAAGGTATTATGACTGACTAGTTTTATAAGGCTTTAGCATAACCTATAATAAAATAATATTTTTTTATAATTTGATTATTCAAATAGAGAACTGAAAAATTCATCAACACAAACTAAATTTAAACTGTACCTTGGGTATATCACGTTTCAGTTGCTTTTCTAATGGAACTATCATGCCCTGACGTAAATCGATGAACTAAGCTTTCTATATATTACAACAGTTATACCGTGTTATAGTTTTATGATACTTTCATGTCCCATTAAGTCATGTTAAACCAAAAGTCAAAGCATGTTAAACCTAAAGTCAAAGCATGTTAAACCAAAAGTCAAAGCATGTTATAGGATTATAATTCTTTACGTACCTTATCATATTCTGTTCGTAGATCTTCATCATCAGCTACTAGTATTTCGTTCTCCTTCGTCAGTCGTTCCAAAGACTTCCTCAGTGACGTCACTCGAGTGTTCCTCTCCAAGTAATAACCAACGAACTCCACTGAGAACGCGGGCGGCACGTGCCATCTACGAGATACATCCTTCAGTGCTGCCATCTATAATTAATACTAAATATTACAAACTGAAATTTTGAATTTCGAAGGTACGAAAAATAAACTAATATTTTCCGGAATTACAAAGCCTTTATAATTATTATGACAAGAATTCTTGTCTCCTCAATGGACAAAGAGCTGTCTACAAGAAATGATAGTATGCAGTTAAAAATAAAAATAAACGAATACGTTACTACTAAATCCAATTTCATAAAAATGTAATTTTTAAAAATAATATACAATTCTGGTGGCCTAACCAAAACAATAATAATATCAGAATATTCTTATAAAAGGTATTAATAAAGTAATTTAGACAGCATATGTTAATTTATTCAATTGTCATTTAAAACTTTTACATAAATACATTAATAAGTTTAAAATTACATTATTTGTCTCAATATAATCAAAGTGTAACTAAGTATCTATATTTATACGAAATTATTATTGTATTCAAGTTGGAATTATGATTATATAACACACCAAAAAATTTAATATACTTATATACAGAATAAAAGTTTAGTTAAGATAAAAATAAACAGTTTGTCACCTGTGAATCTCTAAACTCTAACGCATGTGTGTCCACACCCATACAGAGCGCCTTATCTTGAAACTTACGCACCGCCGACGCGCTGCTGTATATCATGCGCGCCATCTTTTGAGTAGGCACTGAAACAGTTATCATTAGTATTGTTAATAATTACTATGATATATAAAAAATATTGCCTGATTTAATAGATTATAGAGTAGAACGTATTCAAGGAGACGAGTATGCTATCGAAAGTTCAGTTTGTTTGAAACCTTGAGGCTCAAAGCAATAAGAATGTAATTGTTTTCTTAATTCATAAAATTATTGAAACTGGCTACACGTTATCATGTTATATGTTTATATTATTTTTATATTTATAATTATCTTTTCTTAAGACGATCAAAGCTATTTTGAATTTGATTAATATTCAAATAGTTTATTTTCCTTATGATATCAATTTAGTATTCGCTTTATATTGTTTTAGTCATATAACTCGACATTAACTCGGTTGACTAAATAAAAATACAGGGTGACTGGTGAATTACTATCAATATTTAAGGAGAATACTCGGTACATGATTCTCATTCGAATTATGTAAAAAAAATAGGTACTTAATTTTTGACAAAATTTCCGTATAAATAAATAAAGTGTTGACACGTTCCAAGTGTTCAAGTGTGGACGCGCGCGGCGGCGTGCTGATACAACACTACGTCGCGACACGCGTATGTGTGAGTGTGAGTGTATACCTAATCTGTAGGGTGTTCACACGATGCGTAATTAATTACATAACTTTTGGTTAACTTTACTTAGAAGTTTATTAATATTTATGCTATATTAATATTTATGTTATATTAATTTTTATTTTGTCATATATGATCGTCAAATATCACGTCCTCAAATATCGATAGTAATTCACCAGTCACCCTGTATATTCAACACCTACCCCATGGCGGATTTCTATTTTCTTTTTGCAGTGAATACTTCTTTCTATACTTGATTAATTTCCTCTGTATTCTTTTCTTCTCTTCGGTACTTAGATTATTCTGTAACTCCATTTTCCTAAAAATATGAACATTTTTAATATTGGAATTCTTTTGAACATCCTCCATACGATCCAAGTGGGAAAATTTTGTCGACTGACGAATATTGACGAAATTCAACATATCAACAACTTGAGGTTGTCAATTGTTATAAAAACTTATTAATATGTACATTATTGATAAAAGTAAAACGAAAACAAAAGGAGAATAGAACTATGTTCGAATTTTGGTATAAACACAACCTCTAGAGACACAAACAGTTCAGTGAGAGCGGACCGTTAAAGAATATAGAACCTTCAAGAAATATAAGGATATTCAGAAGAATTGAAGTTTAATTTTAAAATATCATGGAACGTGCTGAAAGAAGTGACATTAGTGTTGTCAGTGAAACTGACGCGTGTCTTTGTAAAAACAACGAATGTGTAATAAATCCGATTTATATATACATATATTAAACGATCGTATGTTTTCGGTGTGTGTTTAAATCTTTCGTTTGTGTTATTCAGATTTCATTTCATGATAACTTTAAATAGATATAGTTGAATATTGTAACTTTAAAATTGTTTTTAAGTTGTGTAAATTTAAAAATTAATAGTAGTGAAATTGTATCGAGAATTATTTTTTTTAAATGGTCTTTTCTGTTCTTAGTTCTAAGAATATATATAACCTTTTTTCTGTTCTCAGCTGTAATGCCAGCCAGTTTCTTTTCCGTTTCTTGACTAGTGTTTTATCTGAATGTAAGCGACAGTGTGCATAGAAAGGATCCGCTTGTTCAGCTTCTTCTGAATGCGCCTCCGCCAATAAACCTTCACGTTGACCGCTGTCAAAGAAAAATCATAGTCAAAATACTTTATAACATATTTTTAATCAATGAATACCTACTTGATGTCGTTACATCGATTTTGTTTATAATAACTTATTAAAATTATATATTTTTTTAATAGTAGACCATATAGTATACATATATTCCTGCTTTTAAAGCTTTATGAATATCCCGAGATACAAAACATTAAATATATTAATTAAAAACTAAATTTATCTAACAAAACTCACTGATGTCAGGTTACTTATATGAGATATTTTTCCTTATACTATATTACTATATTCCTTTAAAATGTGTTTTATTATTACTATCCATCTATACCTATACCTCAACAAACAATGATATAAATTACTCACCATGTAACATGAAAGAACGTCCTACATAGTCCAGCGTCACAGCCAACACAAACCCCAGTCCGAGCTAGGGCTCCATCTGAACACAACGCACAAGCCCTAGCCCCCCACCGGGAATATGCCATCTCAAACAGGGTCACTCCTGACAGACGCTCAACCTAGAAAAAAAATCTTTATATATAAAAGAAAGTCGTGTTGGTACTATTTATATAGCTCAATAATAGCTGTACGGGTTTAATCAAAATTGGTGGAGAGTAAGCTTAGAATCAAAAAGGATACTTTTCATGCATTGGAAAAAAAAATTGATAAAATCTTTTTATTTACTGCCTTTAAGGGGAACAGAGTTTGCCCAAACAGCTATACATTTCTAATTTTAAAAGTAACGCAGACAAAGTTGCGGACAAAAACTAATATTATAAAACATTCTTAAGTTGTGTTCAAGCCTCCTTTTTCAATATGTATATGTATAACAATATTGTACATGTTGCTGATATGCTTAATACTAATATATATTTTGTTATACAAAAGAAACATCGTTTAAAATATTCATAATGTAGAAAGCCACAATTTTCAATAGAATTTTTTAAAATGTTTCTTTTTACACTTATAGTATTCAGTATTTAATTTTACAGTATGAATAAAATAAAATATACCTCTGAGAATGCAACCCCCGGCACATATAACGCACATACTAGATGAACCCATGCACCAACTTCTGTTTCTTTAAATATTCCACCTGAAAAAAAAAATATTATTAACATGTCTTCACCAAAATTCACTCCAAATATAATTCATGAATATAAAATAACCTTTATTAGGGCACAATTCACAGTTAGGGTCGGTGACACCAGCTTTACAAGCCTCACAAAACCAGGGTTCTGTAGAGGCCGAGCTTACTGTACTGGACTCACTTGTAACATCTGATACTCCATAACAACCTGCATACAAATAAATATATTTATCTTATATATAAAATGCTCGTGTTGCGGTGTTAGACAGAGAACTCCTCCAAAACAACTGGACCGATTCTCATGAAATTTTGTGAGCATATTAAGTAGGTCTGAGAATCAGCCAAAATAATACATTTATTATGCATGGGCATGAAAATATATGTTGAACATTTTCAACATATATTTTCATGCCCTTAAGTTATAAGGGTTTTTTGTTTTTTTTCTTATGCATTAAAATATACTAATTACACAACATTTTTACTATTTTATCACCAACCCCTATTTTTTTAAATTGCAAAACAGAATTTGCAGGTTCAGCCAGTGTATATTGTATGTATTCACTACAATTGTAAATATAACTTGAATATATAATTTTAATTTTTAATAATAACAGACTAGATACTACATAGTCATTAATAATTCTTGATATATAATTTTCTTCACATACAATTAATCAAGATAAATAAAAAAATGCAAGTATGATTTTACCTTCGTGAACTGTAACACCACAACCATCACATTCAACAATCTCATTGATATCATCACTCCTCGAGCCGAGACAACCGGCGCATATCATGACATTGGCCAGCTCTGGAAACTGTTGATTAAACAAAAAGTTCCATAAATTATATGTATTCATATTAATTATCTATATTAAAAAAATATTTTGTTGAATATACTTAAAGAACTTTAAAAGACTATGATACTAAAAAAACAAAGATTGGGCTTTTTAAGGATCATAGAGTTACATTGTAAAAGTATGTAATATGTAATAATGTAATGTATGTAATAATCTATGAATTATAATGTTTAATAACTTACAACTTACCTTAAATTCATTCTGTTTGGCTTTTTCCAGTAAATCAGTAACACACATTTCCTCTCCCAACTTGTTGGTTGTATTTTTGAATTCATCTTCGTCATCCGAGCCTGACTGTTCTTCTGAACTTTCACTCTTTGCATTTTCTTAAAAAATATAATATTTTAAATATCTTTGTTTCAGAATATTAAGAGTACAAGTTATAAATTCTGTGAGTTTAAAACCAAAGAACGAATTTTATAACATACTTATTGTTATTTGTGATTAAAAATCATCATCTCAAATTATTGAGAACTGTACCTATACCATACTTTCACAAATTATTATTATTTTTATTATTAAGTTTATTTATTTGTAAAAACCAAATTACTATTGTTTTTTACATTGTTATGACTATTTCTATGTGCAGCCTAAATGAAATGTATCTATTTAGATCGATTAAGACAATAGTTTGGACTTACTTTTTTCTTCATCGTCAGTATTTATAGAATAATCGTCACTCTCTTCGGGATGATCTTCGATTCGGAAGTCAGAATCATCAGAGCTCTCACCCTCTCCAAGATCGAAATCCAACAACGACTGCGGCTCTACAGGTTTAACTTTGCGTTTAGCAAGACCTCTGCTAGCTGCGAAGTATTCTATACTCATATTTGTGACCGGCAAATCAATAACAACTTAAACTTGATATACGATACTTACGATTACTCATTATTACACACTTAAGTCATTTATAAAATAATATATCACAATAACAAACTATAATACAAAAATCATTTAGATTTTATTACAATAATAAACATATTTCGCATCGAAGAGTCAAAAGTCATAGCGCCGTATAACCCATTATCCAAGTAGTAAGTACCATTCGTTATTAGTTTCCAGATGTCAAAGTATATTAGAGGACATATTTGTTTATATCATCTTTTAAGTACTTTGGTACATTTATTAGTCAGTTATTGAAGAAATTTAATTATTTTCGTTTATTGTATTTAATAAGAGAATATATATCTAATGTTTTTATATCAATAACATTTTAAGAGGCATTAACTAATAATTCAAACATAATATTATAAGAAACTTTACATTTTTTTTTTTTGAAAAAAATAAGATAAAATTTGATCGAATAAATGTGTTATGCAAAATACTTAATACTTAAAATTAAATGTATCATTTTTATTATTTATAATAAAAGAGTACTTTATACTATAATATGAACACTGCCTTCTACTTTTTGACAATTGACATTGACTGTTGACAACACTTAACAAGATATTTGTTTTTTACGATAGAATTTGTTTCAAAAAAAGGGATTACTCACCAAGTTTGCCGTATATAAATTTCGGTTAAGTCGTACACTAATTCCATTGGAAAAGCTTTTAAAAGTTTATTTACTGTCGTAAAAGAGCAAATATATTAACAATGGTGGCCCTCGATGGAGACATAAATAAGGACGACGACTGTGAAAATATTGGGCTCGGATGCGCTCTAGAACACTTTTCCGAAGTCGAAGATGTACTGAACATGATAGAAAATGTGAAAAATATTTATAACACACCATCATTCGAAGTCGAATATGACAAATTGTACACAATTTTGAAACAGTATTATGAACAACCGCATTTACTTGATCCACATTTGGATAAACTACTCGCGAAATTTATGTCTATTATTAAAGATAAGGAAAGCCCGATTGAGTTAAAAAATGCAACATTTAATTACATGTATCAAATTATTCGAGTAAGGGGCTACAAGGTGGTTGTGAGGCATCTCCCACATGAGGTATGTACAAAAACAGATAACAAATTATTTTGTCTTTTTTTTTTCGTCTACTTAAACATATGCCAGTAACATTATGTATGAAAATGGGTAACATAATTTTTCCAGGTGTCTGATCTTTTAACAGTGCTTTCCACGCTAGAAGCCCAGGATCCGAATGATAAAGAGACTTGGAGAAGCAGATTTGTTTTGTTGCTCTGGCTTTCCATTGTAGTGATAATACCATTCCATATGAGTAGACTGGATGGATTTGCCCCCAATGCTTCAGGTACTCAATACACACATTTGAATTTATCTACTACTTATATACAGGATGACTGGTGAATTACTATTGATACTTGGGGACGTGATATTTGACGATCATATATGACAAAATTAAAATTAATATAACATAAATATTAATAAACTTCTAAGTAAAGTTAACTAAAAGTTATGTAATTAATTACGCATCGTATGAACACCCTACAGATTAGGTATATACACACACACACACACACACACACACACACGCGAGCGGCGGTGTGATGTTGTATCAGCACGCTGCCGCACGCGTCCACACTTGGAACATGTCAACACTTTATTTATTTATATGGAAATTTTGTAAAAAATTAAGTGCCTATTTTTTTTACATAATTCGAATGAGAATCATGTACCGAGTATTCTCCTTAAATATTGATAGTAATTCACCAGTCATCCTGTATATTTCATAAATGACTCTAAGAGAAACGATGTATAGAAAATAAGTGCACAAAATATTTGTGAATTATACTAGTTCATATTTTGACTTCATATTTTATCCTAATAACTAAATATGTTTAGGGGCTGGTTCTTCAAAGAAATTAACTGTTATGGAGAGAATACTCAATATCTGTAAGACTTATGCATTAAGTAAAGACAGCTGCGCCGAGGCCAGTGCTTATTTGACATCAAAATTTTTAATAAGGTATAAACTTAAATATTTTTAACATAATTTTATTTTCTAACATTTATGAGTAGACTTTTCAAACTTAAGTCGTCTGCCCTAGATCTTGATAAACATATAAATTAATTTTTGTCTGATAGAAAGTATAACAATAAGAATGCTTCATAAATTTAATAAATATTTTTATATGTTATTTAAATCTAATCATTTCAGATCTGATGTAAAAGAGTTGTACATGAGCCAGTTCTTTGACTGGGCCTGTGAATTACATTCCAATATACAAGAGGAAGAAACTATTCATTATGGAGTCTTAGCTGCTGTAGCTGCTGTTTTAAAACATGGCAAACGAGATGACCTCCTGCCTTTCACACCCAAGTTACTGGAATGGGTGACGACTCAGAACTACCAGCAACATAAGGCTATGTTGGTACGGAAGTATGGAGTCAAGATTGTGCAGAGAATTGGTATGTTATCACAATAGTATAGCTTTTGCCCACAACTCTGCTTGAATTTCAGTTCAGTACACTTGCCATGAATGATGATGGCCACTGAATTTTGGTCTTAATAGTTCCACATGTACTATCTAAACAATATATTTAGATTAAAAAAAAAAAAAAACATGTACTATCGGGATCGGGATTAGAAGCATTTGCCCTTCTCCAAGGTTCCATCTATATCTATACCAAAATTCATCAAAATTGGTTCAGAGGTTTAGGCGAGAAAACATTACAGATAAAAAGTAACAATATAAAAATAATATTAAATATTAGGTGTTCAATGCCTTCAGCTGTTCATAAAAGCTTTGGAGTCATGTTAAGAACTTTTAAATGATCTAGCAAATAAATATAGTTGAGTTATATGTAATATAGAAAATTACTTAAACAAGTTATTTAAGTAAATATGTCATGTGATGTCTTGAAATTAATTAAAGAAAAAAAATTATGATAACTGCAGCATGGATATTATATGACATAACAATAATTTGAAGCTGAACAAATTTTAAACTTTCGTAGTATACTGTACAAAATAGAGCTATTGTTTTTATGTGTAATATATGTACATTGAAGATATGTGCAAGCTATGTATGCTCCTGGTATTAACCAAGAAGCTTCTAATTTCGCTTTTTTGTACGTTATGAGAATGAAATTTTCAGAACAAATATATGAATTAATTTCCAGGTCTAACATTTCTCCGCCCACGCGTGGCCTCCTGGCGTTACACACGAGGAGCTCGCTCGCTGGCCGTCACACTAGGAGCCGCAGCCGCTGGAGACAATGAACCGATGACTGTAGACCCCGATGACGACGACCAAGATATACCACAAGAGGTCAAGTATATTTGGACAATTGTACTAAAGAAAATTAGTTTTTGCACTCAACATCGCCTCCTTAAGCTTCGGAAAATGAGACAGTAATGAAGTATACTTAAAAACAATTGATGTGTTCATCATTGCAGCGCCATCTCTTGTCTGTAACGTGAAACCTCATACAAAAAAACAACAATCACACCATGCACTAAGGCGTAGTTTTCTTAAGTAGAAGCTTTTAAATATGCCACAATCTGTGTCTTCTGATATCTAAGCTACACAACTGTAATGTAAAATCAAAATTCTCTAACAAGTTTAACGTAGAAAATCAACGAACTTCCATATAAAAAGTTTCCCATTTAAGACATTACTAATAAATAACAATTAATATTACAGGTTGAGGATGTAGTGGAACTGCTCCTTCGTTCTCTTCGTGATGAAGATACAGTCGTTCGTTGGTCGGCCGCTAAGGGCGTGGGTCGTATTGGAGCTCGCCTTCCCGCTATGGCCGCCGCTGATGTATGTGACAGTGTACTGACTTTGTTCGCTGACAATGAGCGTGACACTGCCTGGCACGGCGGGTGTATGGCTTTGGCTGAACTAGGTATACATCGAATTGTTTGTCATATTAACATAATATGTGTAAGTCAGTGGTGGCCTAGTGGTTAAAGGGCCCGCCTCTCATACACAACGGCGCGGGTTCGATCCTGCCCCGGGCAAGTACCAATGTGATTTTTCCGAATCATATGTACTTTAAGAGTTAGACATCACTGATTAATGCATCTCCAAAGAGGGTTGATGTCAGGCAGGCGGCCGGTTGTAAAAAACAATTTAGCCAAAACTATTAACAAACATGTAAGGCAGACCCTGGCTAAAGCTGGGAAATTGCCCGGTAGAAGATTAACATAATATGTGTATACGAAAAAGTTCTTCCTGTAAATGTATTACTATTTTAATTATCTTCAGTCTATAAGTCGATAGAATTTATATTACGTTAATTCTATATTGGACTTACAAAAACAATGATATTACATAATAAATTTAATAGAAAAATCACTTTATCTATACAGTAAGCTTATCTATTGGTACGTTCATTTTTAATAAGATTTTTTTTATATATACCTAGTCTGTATATTATAGTTACCAGTTATACGTATTATACTAATTATTCCCCCCCCCCTACCCCCTTTCCAGGTCGCCGCGGTCTCATCTCTCCCCGCCAGCTGTCGTCCACAGTTCGTTGTTGTTCAGCGGCCCTAGCTCGTGATGAGCCTCGCGCGTCGGGCGGCGGCGGCGGCGGCGGCGGTAGAGCTGCCAGAGACGCGGCCTGCCACGCCGCATGGGCCATCGCGAGAGCATACGACGCGACAGCCCTAACACCACACGCTACAGTACTAGCGAACGCCTTGATAGCTACCGCCTGTTTTGATAGAGAGGTTAGTAACTCGAGCAGTGGCGGCTGGCGGGTTATCGAACTGGTGTTGCACTTTACTAAAATATTAAAATTAGAAAATGCAACAAAACAACAATTGTCATAAAATATGTTTATTTTTTATACATTAAATCAATGCGACCACATTTTTCTGTAGCGAAATGTTCGATTAACTTTTTATTAAAATCGGGTACATATTGTTTGTATAATTTTTTTTCCTTTAAGCACAGAAAGTGCATTTAGCAAGTGCATGGTATTTCGGAGAAAAGTTTTTTTTCTTTTCAATTCCAATACGTCATACATCGGGTGCTCTCGGTAATCTTCGGCCGCTCGTGCGGCGCTCGAAAACCGACTTGTTACTCGGTATATTTCTATGAACTATCTTTTGTTTCACGCGTCAGGCGTTTTAATTCGTATCTCATACAAAATGTATTAGGAGTCCTCGTGCACTAGCCGAAGCGCACGAGATATTAGTAAAGCGCTCAAACTTTTCAAACTCAAACATAATTGGAAATTTAATTTTTTATACGTTTTTGTATGTTTAGAAAATAAATATTAAAATGGTAATTAAAAAATAAAGATGAAGTAATATTTTGTAATTTTTAAATCTTTTGAATTGGTGGTTCTGCGCACGAGTGCACTTAAGGTACAGCCGCCACTGAACTCCAGTAAGCATTAAGACGTTTTTAATTCTAAAGAGTTTATTGCCTGACGAATAGATCAACAGTTATATGTAGGATTTTCGCGTGTAGACATTTTATTATATGGGAAATGTTATATAAACTAAGATAATCAAATCGCTTAATTATACCCTAAAATATTACTTTAATGTTATCAAAACGTTTTGCTTTGTCTTAAAATATAATAAAGTAAAATAGGTCATTGTAATTGTAAGCATAATTGCATATAAACTAGTATAATTATATAATATTACTAGCTTTCTGCTCGCAGCTTCGCCCGCATGGAGTTCGGGTATATCGCGCTTCCAAGAGAACATTTCAAAAGTCTGGAATCAAAATTATCCTTTGTTCTTTCTCAAGGTCAACTCTATCTCTGTACCAAATTTCATTAAAATCAGTTCAGTGGTTTACGCGTGAAAGCGTATTTTCCATTGTTAACGCCCCCGCAACCCCCTTTGTGGGTTGAATTTCGTAAAATCCGTTCTTAGCTGACCTCTACTCGGCGAAAGGAATAATCCTACCAAATTTCAAGTCGCTACGCCTTATGGTTCCAGAGATATCGTGATGAGTCAATATATAGGTGGAAACTCTTTTACATAGATAAGTGCTCTATCAATAGATCAACTGCCGCCGTGCCGCGTCAGCCGCCTACCAAGAGAACGTGGGTCGTCACGGTCTGTTCCCTCACGGTATCGACGTGCTGACGGCCGCGGACTTCCAGTCCGTTGGTCCGAGGAACCACGCCTACCTTGTGGTGGCGCCGTACGTGGCGCGCTACGAGGAGTACACGCGCCCGCTCGTCGATCATCTCGTTAATTTGAAATTGGAACACTGGGACTGCGCCATTAGAGAACTGGCCGCTAAGGCGCTCAATGAACTGACTAAACAGGTTTGATTAAAAAGTTCTTATATAAACACAAAATGTTTGAGTCACTTGCGATTTTTTTTTTAGCACATATATTGGGGTACTCAAAAATTGGTGATACTTTTCAGACTAATATTGCAATCAGGTTAGTACATAGTCTTAACAGCAATAACTATTTATATTGTGTTTCAAATTTAACTATGTTATTGCTTTATTGGGAGAAGTTTGGCAAAGAAACTAATCAAAATGCGGGAGTAAATTAAAGTTCAGATTTAATATATTGGCATTTAACTTATATAAAACATATAATTTATGTATTACAAAAACGTCGCATACTCCAACAACTTGGTTTATTTGGTTTCCAAATAATTTTGTTCTATTTAGAAGGTCTTCTTTTAGATTTTTACTATTTTTCAATCTTCTCCGTAGTTTTCAGGGATTTTACAATTTTCACCTCAACATCACACAATATCGCAGTCATTAAATGACGAAAATATTCACTTTATTAAAAATAGAATTAAACACAACGAATAAGTTCTTAATACGGTTCATATGAAATAATGTCACTGGCAGCGAAATTTTTTTTTTCCTCTTTCATTTGAATTTTTATAAATGTCAGTCACAATTTGATAGACTCTCGTGATAGTTAGGTTATTTAGATTTAATTTAATTTAAGATTTTTTTATAGATCTTCTGTACAGAATAATTTTATTATATTTATCGTTATTTTAAAGAACATTTGTATATAATGTGTGAAGTAAGCTTTTTAAAATAATAATATAATCGTTTAAGGACAAATGACATTTGTGGAAGGGTTATTTAACGAAGATACTTTTGCTTCTAGACACCAGACTACGTGGCGAAGGAGGTTCTACCGAAATTAGTGAAGAAGACGGAATCTATTGATCTCAATGTACGTCACGGAGCCATACTTGGTATCGGTGAAGCGATATACGCGCTCTCACAAACTGAACTACCCGACGGTAAGATACTTTGATCATTACAGTTGGAACAAAAGTTACGAACGGATACTTTAGTCCCAAAGAGGGTTGATGTCAGGCAGGCGGCCGGTCGTAAAAACAATTAGCCAAAACTTTTCACAACATGTAAGGCAGACCTTGGTTAAAAGCTGGGAAATTGCCAGTTAGAGTAAGAAGACAATGAGAATAAAATTAATTATTTTATAATGTTTTGTCAAATAATTTATGCTTCTTTGTATCGATAGATATTTCGCTATAATATTAACTTTACGAAACTTATATTGAATCAAAAATTAATTACCTATCACTTCGATATCAATTTTCATAGTGTTTACAATGACTGTAGTGTATTTATGCACTATAGTTATGAGTGTATATTATTTACTCAACATAGTACGGTGATGATTAAAATATATACATATAATGGCATCACTTTCACTGTAATTCATTAAGAGTTCTTTGACGTCATACTTTAGACACTTCAGCCCCAACAAGGCGCTCCAAAAAAAATTCAACAGAATATATTAATAAAATTATTATTATTAACAAAATCTAAGACTTCGCGAGTATTATTTATTCTGAATACTACACGTATATTTTATTATTAACAACATACACCATACGTTTTGCTTACGTTTGCACAACCGTGATCACGCTCATACTAAATATTTTATCACTATTATTATTACTTGTAGGTAGTAAGGCGTGCGTGTTGATATCCTTATAGGTAGTAAAGCGTGCGTGTTGATATCCTTATAGGTAGTAAAGCATGCGTGTTGATATCCTTATAGGTAGTAAGGCGTGCGTTTTGATATCCTTATAGGTAGTAAAGCGTGCGTGTTGATATCCTTATAGGTAGCAAGGCGTGCGTGTTGATATCACCGGACGTGTGGCGCGGCGTGCTCGGCGTGTTGGAGACGCTCCGCGGCCGGCAGCAGCTGAGAGGACTGGGCGGGGAGCTCATGAGGCAGGCGGCATGCAGCGCGCTCGGCAGACTGGCGACTGCCGCCGCGCCCGTACACACCGCTGATACACTGGGTTAGTTAGAGGGATGCCTCTGGTGCATTCCTTTGTATGGAAGTTTAGTGATGATGCAACAATTACACTAATGTTTTGTTTTCATAGATAGTCAGTATATGGCTTTACAAAGACTTTCATTCAAAAATAATTGCATAAATCATATGGTAGTATACAGTGTGATGATGCAAAAATTGCAATAAGGGCCGTTGGTTGTTGTAGTTATACAGATATATGACTACACAAACTCATTCAACAATAATTGCATATCTGATATGATGTATCACTTTAAGTTCATGTATGAAGGACAAAATTTGTGCTAAGGTTCTGTTATTTTGATACTTCTGATAGTTTACAAAATTTGTATGTACATATCTTTATTTTTGGTATAACTATTTGTATGGAATAATAATAATTTTCAATACAGTATGAGAATTATTACATACTAGCGGCCCGGCCCGGGTTCGCACGGGTGCAATGCTGATGCTAAAAAAACTGAACGTTGTAATGGATGTTATTATACATATATCGGCTTCGCACGGGCACTAAACGTGATGTTTACACAAATATTCACAATTTTTGCGTCAAATAAAAAAAAGGAAATTTAACTCTTAGATATTATTTCGTGATCTTAACCCCCCTCCCGTACCTCCGTGCCCGAGTGACGCCTACAACTCTACAACGCATAGTTAGCCGCCGAGCGAATATTTTTCAAAATTTTTAACTCGTGATATCTTTTAAACGGAATGTCAGAATCTAATAATTCAAAAAGTTATATAAAGGTTTTGAAACGATCTTAAATAATAAATCATTTATTTTGATAAGGATTTATACTAAGGTACAAATAAAGAGCCTTTTCAAGCAGTGTTATTTTAACCATTTTTTTTGTATAAAAAATCGTGTGACAAAACTATAATAGAGATATGATGTCGCGACGTTCTTTGTAGATAATGATAAGTTCTACAAAATTGTAGTTCATCACTTTATTATATCTTCAATCGTTTTAGGAGGGTTCGTGATTAAAGAAAGTTTTTTGGTATATTTTTTACATTATCGGAGTTTTGGTAAGGAACCCTATATTTTTAAACTAAATACAGCCTAGGTTACTCCGGGATAGTATAGCTTTCCAACGGAGAAAGAATCTTTCAAATCGGTACATTAGTTTCGGAGCCTATTCGAGACTAACAAACAAAAAAATCAAACATTTCCTCTTTATAATATTAGTATAGATAGACTAAACTAGTGACCCTGATGGCATGGCCTTTTTTTAGTGCTGTTGGGATGCAAAAATCTCTTCTGTGTTCTCGTTTGCATTCTGCATTTCTAAACTCATTAAAAAAAGCTCACTAATAAATACTTAATAAAATATGAACAAATTGAAGCATTTTTTTTATATTTATACTGTAATAATTAAGATTATAGTATCTTTACCTAACATTACTAGGAGCATGACAAGTCTCTGTCAATATCAGCTGATCTCGTTAGTTTACAAGATTGCCAATTTCTATTGTAATGAAGCAATATAAATTGCAAAGGCTAATAAATATGATATATGTATTTAAAATTAAATTATTTATTTCAAACATTTTCAGATGAATGGCTGAATCTAATCGAGGAGTGTCTGTCTCATGAAGTGCAGACGATTAGAGAAAAAGCCATCGACGCTCTGCCGAAAATATTCGAAGAATATCTGAAGGACGATAAAGTCCAATACTCTGAACTCAACGCTAAGGAGAAGAGAATGCAACTGGTACAGAAATACTGCGAGCATTTGAACAACACCGGGGTCAATGGACTCTTCCTCAGGATGGGATATTCCAGAGCTCTTGGTAATATTGAAGCTACATACATTATCTTCTTCTTCTTCTACCTGGCAATTTCCCAGCTTTAGCCAGGGTCTGCCTTACATTTTGTGAATAGTTTTGGCTAATTGTTTTGACGACCGGCCGCCTGCCTGACATAAACCCTCTTTGGGAATCAGCATTAATCAGTGATGTCTAAATACTCCTAGAAAGTACATATGTCTCGGAAAAATCACATTGGTACTTGCCAGGATCGAACCCGCGCCCTCTTGCATGAGAGGCGGGCCTTTTAACCACTAGGCCACCACTGACTTAAAAGCTATATACATATTTCCGTATACAACAAATTTCCGTCGTCAAACTAAAAGTTACTTTTTTAACAGTAAAGCTACATTGAGCCAATAATTTTATTAGGAAATAGAGATTGATATATTCATTGACATGACCAGGATTCAAACCAACAACCTATGACTCACATCGAGTTCAAATTGCTTTGCCAATTAAACTATCGTGCCCTACTTTTAATAAGCACTATATTAAAGTAATATTCTATATGTTTTAATTTAAATTCCCCGTTTGAGCTCAGATGATTTTTAATATATCAACCATATTTTAATTTTCAGGTTCCCTTCCGAAGTTTGTTTTGTTGGAGAGCCTGCAATTAGTCATCAAGTCGCTGATACAGTGTACTAAAGTGACAGACGCAACCATGAAGTGGGCGGAGGCTCGCCGGGACGCGGTGCTAGGGTTGACAGACGTGTGTCAAACTGTAGGGCTCCAGGGACAGATGGAGCGGCATGTGGAGGACGTTAGGGCAGCCCTATTGGACTGTCTGGCGGAGTATACTGTGGACATGAGGGGGGATATAGGAGCCTGGGTGAGGGAGGCCAGTATGACCGGTGAGTTACTTTACCAACATTAATAAAGGAGGTACTTGTGTTAAGTATTTATACCCGTTTCAACACTTTGTATGGTTAATTAGAAGGAATAAGAGATACACATTATAGGATATATATATAATAGGTTGTAGTCTATCAAGCAATCACTTATGTACCTTGTGGCGGCTCTCATCGCATGCAATAGTGAAAGTTTAAATGTTCTTGATATATTTAATGTGTCATTGACCCTATTGACAATTATCCACATAAAAGAGCAGTTAAAGTGGAGTAAAGTGTACCAAATGTCTTATAATATTTTTTTATTATGCTGTTCCTAATAAAAATTCTGAGTTCATTAATTATAACCAATTGTTAGACCTTCTACGACTTTCATCCGAACTTTGTACTTAAAAATCATTTTCTACTTATTAGTTTGGTTAGCCAAAACAATGTGTTGTTTGAGTTTTTGAACCTGTCATTGATTTTTTATATGAAATTTACTAGATTATTACTAGTAAATAAAGAACGACAAAATAATATTCTCGCTTTGTCTTCAATAAGATTTAGTTTTCAATCTTAGATTGATTGATACTAAGTTACTTAGAATATATCTGATCAAACATTACGCGACTAATAAAAGTCTAACTCTACACATTATACAGGGTGACTGGTGATATACTATCAATATTTAAGGAGAATACTCGGTACATGATTCTCATTCGAATTATGTAAAAAAAATAGGCACTTAATTTTTGACAAAATTTCCGTATAAATAAATAAAGTGTTGACACGTTCCAAGTGTTCCTAGTGTGGACGCGTGCGGCGGCGTGCTGATACAACACCACGCCGGCGTCCGCGTATGTGTGAGTGTGTGTGTATACCTAATCTGTAGGGTGTGCACACGATGCGTAATTAAATACATAACTTTTGGTTAACTTTACTTAGAAGTTTATTAATATTTATGTTATATTAATTTTTATTTTGTCATATATGATCATCAAATATCACGTCCTCAAATATCGATAGTAATTCACCAGTCACCCTGTATATCACAGTGGCGTGCACAGAGATTTGGGGTAGGGTAAGCAGAATTTGTTTGAAGAGTAAAATACCAATTTTCATCATTTCCTCCTCTAAAACATTTATAATAATGATATCTTTAACAAGTATTGGTTTAAATTTTAAATGAAATTACATAATATTTTTAACGATCAGACGAGATGTCGGGAGTACGTTGTTATGAAACAATAAAATACGCGAAGGAATCAGAAAATATTAATTTCATTTAAACATCGATAATATTCGCGCAATTTCACAGCAGTCCGATCAGAACGAACATCTATATACTTTACGAATCTCTCGACTACCTGGGCCACGAAAGTACCCTAAAACGCTTACGACCTCTTCATCACAGTTTTATAAAAGTTATTTAAATAGGAATATCCAGTGGAAATTCAGACATTGTTATAAGTATCATTTGAAAACAACAAAATAACTTATTTGTGTGTACAGTACACAACCTGCTAATTAATTAAAACTTTCATAATACTTTTCATTAAAACGAATAACATCTCCCTTTCTTTTAGTTCAATCACAACTGGTCACACACCTTGACTTTACACTTATTTTAATTTTATTATCAAACGACAATATTGAAAATCTACTCGTTACTAATTTCAACAAACACGTCATATAGCTCATAATTTTCCATAATTCGTTAGTAAATTAATCTGTTTATTAATAATTAAAACTCAGTCACTTGCGCTTAGAAAGACAATATTAAATAATAATAAAATCGCAAAAAAAGTATATGAACAGTTTATCGACCAATCAGAGAGTCCCGTTTCATTTAACAATTAACTTTTCTACGACATTTTAAACAATACCAAATAATCAGTGCTTCTCGAACACTATGCATGTGTTAGTTTTACACACACACACACACACACACACATACAAACAGTTCCTACATACATACATACACGAGATTTGTAGATCGTCCTTGAGAATTTTTGTATGGAAAATAACCAGAGAGTAGTTGTGCATATCGCCGCTCTGGCTGCATAGCGGGACCAGCAATCGAAAATGTCATTTTAAACGTCTGTTAACATTTGTATTTCTAATGTATGATTAAAAGTATGTAAGTAAGAATTAAACATTATAGATTTAGTTGTTATATGGGTAGGGTATGCAGTGCTTATTTGCATGATTGCATCTATGGTGTGCACGCCACTGATATCATATATACCTAATAATCATTGCATTGAATCTGTTAGAAATTAAAAGTAAATTAACCTATTTTTTGGATATATACTCCTATTATGTAGTTTTTATCAAAAATAAATCGCGTAGTATGTTCGAAAAATATTTTATGTTATATATTGCAGGTCTCGTTTCATTGTGTAGTCAGTGTTCGTCGCAGGCGCCTCACTTGAACACTCCCTCGGCGGTAGCTGATACTGCTCGCGGTCTGGCGCAGCAGGCCGTCGAGAAGATAGACAGAACGAGGGCACATGCCGGGAGACTGTTCACCGCGCTCATATACAAGTTAGTACTGCTAATAGATAATAGATGGCGCTGACGGTATATTGAGAGAATAATCCCTACTAATATTATAAATGCAAAAGTAACTCTGTGTCTGTTGCGCTTTCACGCCTAAACCGCTGAACTGATTTTAATGAAATTTGGTACAGACATAGAGTTAACCTTGAGAAAGAACATGGGATAGTTTTTATCTGATACTTTTGAAAGGTTCTCTTGGAAACGCGATATAACCGAACTCCACGAGGGCGAAGCTGCGGGCGGAAAGCTAGTGGAATATATTTGATTAATATTAGAGTGATTTGTTTATCTATTCACATGATATGAATTGTAATTATTAATATACATATATCATTGAAAACTTTTGTTTAAAAATGAAATCAATAAAAAGAAAACTCACACTATAATAATTAATTTCAGTGATCCACCTATAAACAATATACCTCAACACGAAGCATTGAAGCGGATATTCCCCAACGAGAAGGACAAGAAGTGTGATGAAGAGTGCAGAGATAGTACGAGCGAGGGTGGGGTAATTTTGTGGCTTTTCCCCGGACATACTATGCCGCGGTTCGTTCAGTTACTGCAGTATGATGAGTATAGATACCACGTGGTTAGAGGACTTGTGGTTAGCGCTGGGGAGCTTACTGAGAGTCTCGTGAGTATATAAAACTATTATAATAGGTATAATGTTGTATATAATAGGTATAGTGTTGCTATATAATAAGACTATTTGTCACGTCACGCTATATATATATATATATAAGACTATTTGACACGTTTTATGGATGTATGTATCGTTTTTCTTTCATATAAAATATACTTAATGAGATCTAAGATTTTCGCGAGTACTCATTTAAATGAAACTATTATTTTAAAAATAAAAACGCAAATAAATCCGAAATATTAGTTTCATTTAAAATATACTTAATAAATTTTGATACTATCAAGTAATTCATCAAGATATATATAAGCTACAATAACGATAGTATATAGCTATGAACTATGACATCCATATCGCAAGTTCTGTTGAAACGTTATATATTAACCGCTATACAATAATTGTCACAGGTGAAACACACTACCCAGGCGTTGTTTTCGTACCTCAATTCCCTGCACTCGACCCCACGAACACTATCCACCATCTGTGACACTATAGTACAAGTGTTCGCTGATAACATACACGTGAAGCGAATCACAGGACCCATGTTCAATTTCCTCGATAGGCTGCTAAGCTCTGGTTAGTATAACTAATATTAAGATCAACAATTAAAATACAATACTAGGCGATAACTTTGGTTTTGCTTGCATTTTATTGTATTGTATTAGGTTTCAGTTTCATTCCTGATTTTTAATGTTCAGAAATGTCTACCAATGCCTGAAGACAGTATCTATGTTTTTGAAATACTAGTTAATGATTAAATGTTAAATTGGTCAATATTATAATTAAATATTATAATTAATTATAATTAGTTATAAAAATTGGTGTAAGGACTATAGTATGTTGTTATTAGTAGGACAGAGATGGCGCCACTTGTAACGATTGAACTACTACTATAAAAAAAAACCTACTCCTTAGTCAAAGTAACGGTAAAATGAGTTACGCAAATTTATTTTGTATGTAATTCTTATGATATAAACTTAAATATTGCATAATATTGAGTGCTAATATGTCTGTAATCAATATTTTTTTATTTTCAGGATCAATATCTCCCATACTAGAAGATCCCGAGTCTACATTCGCTAAGGATATATTGAAATATTTGAAATTGGAACTGAGAGGTGGAAAGAATCTCTATAAATTGCTTGATTCAATCAACGTATTATGTCAGCTGTTACAGGTTTGATAGATTTTATTATTATCAACCAAATCTCATATAACCATTTCTCTTAATAGTGCATATTGGTCCAAGTTGGCCCAACTCATTGTATTATAATACAGGTTGGTGGTGTGGTTTGGTCCAATGCATTGGGCCAACTCGTGGTGTATCTTTGCTATGGAGAGGGTTATGTTCGTCGTTGTGCCGCTGCGAGGTTGTACGAGGCGTTGTCTCTGTACGGTGATGTTAGTGAAGTACCGCCGGCTGCCCTAGAACAGGTACTTGAAGCATATATGTATTGTTTTGTGGATATTTGATATCAAATTATATGGCATTTTGGTCATTAGACGTTCAGAAGAGCGTTTATTTCATTTAAATATGTTATTTTTCGTTTTTTTCATATTATCATTATTTAATTGAAAGATATGATATATATTGTTATTTTTGCTACAAACACACTTATTATTGTAACCTTAAATACGAGCATTACCAGTTTAGTTCTCAAACTTTTCGCCATACTGTCAATATTATATAAATATACTTTATATAATATTTATAACAAGCGATCGTTTTATGTTTACAGGTGATGACAATACTCGCAGAAACTGATTGGGAAAAAGACGTGACTGTATTAAGACCTATCAGAAACGAGATCTGCGACCTCATGGACATAAAACGACCAGTTATGAAGCAGAGACAGACATAAAACATTTAATATATATATTGATGAAATACATAATAGCTTCTATACAGCTTGTACTGATTATTTAACGCTAGACGCACTAATATTTTTATATATGTTCTAACATCACAGCGATGTTTACACAATAAAAGATGTATTCTTATAGCAGTGGTTTTATTTACATTTTTGTTTTATATTATTGTTTAATTATATGAGTATCTGTAGTCCCGTGTCGTGAGGTGTCTCCGCTACTATATTCGCCCAGAATGTGCCGTAGTCTTTCAAAACTGTACCACTGTGGAATAAATGGGAATAATATTAGTAGTAGTAGTATTTTTTTATCAAGCAAAAGCTTTATTCGCACTGGAATATTGGAATATTTTGCCAATGACAAATAGTTATGATTTAAGTCTCGAATGTATTGAACGTCGTTATCGTTGATGATGTTTTAACAACTCTAATGTCTAAATATTTAAAGATATAATAAATGTGTATAATATTATAGTTTATAAAATTTATTTGTCGATGAAATAAATGCATCTTTCCAGAAGTTCACTCACGTCATGCAAATAAGCATGTCATAAAACATTAATATTGTCGCTCAATCGATAATAATCATTATACCAATATAAGGTAATAAAATTTTTACATAAAATAATAGGTTTTACATAAGATAACGGTTTTGTGAACAGTAATTGTAGACTGACATGAGCTTATAAATTCATTATTTCTTTTGTCTATGCTGTAGCTTAATTTAATTGGAATTATGGAATATTATGCCAATGTCAACTTATGTATTTTTCCGATCAATATATTGACACAGGCCAAATAAGTAAATGTAGCAAAACTTACAAAACAAGATTCTTAATTTAATACTACCAAATTTACGATAAACTGTAATAAGATAACATTTTACAAAATAATTCGATCTAACATAATTTTTAGAAAAAATCATTTTATGAAAAAAAATTACAAAAAGGAGAGGTTTTAAAATATGACTCTTCCTGACATCTATTAGCGAATAGTGATATTATTTTTGCTAATTGCTTTTAATAATTGTTTGAACGACACAACAGCAGATGGCGTTGTTAAGCAACAGGAAGTCAATGAGTGTTCTGAGGTTAGACTAAGAAATTAATTGTTCATGTATATTGTTTTATGTCTTCTTAACATGTTTACTTAAAAATTCCAAAATGTAATGAAAAAAAAAACAAAATAAATACTAACAATTTCTAAATACCGAGCAAAGTAACCAGATACTTGTTATTAATGAGATTTAATTTAGTCTGATTTCATTATACATATTTATATACATATAGGTGGTGCTTTGTGGTTAAAAGGCCCGCCTCTCATGCAGGAGGACGCGGGTTGGATCCTGGCAAGTACCAATGTGATTTTTTCAAGACATGTACTTTCGAATAGTATTTAGACAACACAGATTAATGCATTCCCAAAGAGGGTTAATATCAGGCATGCAACAATTACCCAAAACTATTCACAACATGTGGCAGACCCTGGCTAAAGCTGGGAAATTGCCAGTTAGAAGAAGAAGACAACATTCAATCGGATTTCATACTATACAGGGTGACTGGTGAATTACTATCGATACTTGAGGACGTGATATTTGACGATCATATATGACAAAATAAAAATTAATATAACATAAATATTAATAAACTTAGAAGTTTTAGTTAGAAGTAAAGTTAACCAAAAGTTATGTAATTAATTACGCATCGTGTGAACACCCTACAGATTAGGTATACACACACACACACATACGCGTGTGGCGGCGTGGTGTTGTATCAGCACGCCGCCGCACGCGTCCACACTTGGAACACTTGGAACGTGTCCACGCTTTATTTATTTATACGGAAATTTGGTCAAAAATTAAGTACCTATTTTTTTTACATAATTCGAATGAGAATCATGTACCGAGTATGCTCCTTAAATATTGATAGTAATTCACCAGTCACCCTGTATATAGATATTACCTAGATATACCTATTTTAAGTTTACGGGATACAAAGCTTATAAAGCCTTTACTATGAAAATGAAAACAATCCCTCTCCTTGCAGGAAATATTAAAACTGTCTGCTAGAATTTCCGTTTTAGAATCAATACTAATAGTGTTTGGTAAGTATTAAGGTATAATTTATAAAACATGTTACTCAATATGTGTTGACGGAGCAAAGTGAAAGGCATGTGTGCTGTTGCAGACATTGAAAATTCATATTTCTTTAACCTACTTAGTGATCCTTATCTAGCTTCGGTTATTATTGGGAAACATTATCTCTACAGCTGTAATTTCATTATTTCTACAAATTGAACAAAATTTTATACAATTCGATATCAACCATTATATGGTATGGCTAAATAACGGTATTTTATTAGGTACAGTTTAAAGTGTCTTCTCTTTTATTTATTATAAATGAAAAGATTTTTAACGCATCATACAACCTGCCAGTACTGGGTCCCATACTTGTTACCAAATATGAAAATAACTTAAAGCTTAAAAAACCCGTCCGTTCATTAACAAATTTTTGTACATATTCGCTCGGATACGGAAATTTAAATCAAGTAACCAATCAAAAGAAAGCTTTTACTTAAAAATTTTAAAGACTTTTCTATTAATATTTAATAATTTATAGACTCACGTGAAATAAACAGTGCCATGTGACGCTGGCGCCGTCCAAATAAGGGTCGCTCTAATTTTTTCCCGCGGATCTGCGTGAGTGATAGCAGAACATTCTGGAATCAGCGTAGTGTTAGGAGATTCCTCCCAGGAACCAGTCCAGTGATTGTCATCTGCTGAACGAGCCTGGATAAAGAAACCTTTGAACGGTTCCGCGCCTTCTATTGTAACTGAAACATCGAGTAAAAAATTACTTACATGTATTATTAAATGTTTAAGTTGTTCATCACACTTTGGAAAAAACATATTTGTATGCTTCATCAAAATTGCCATCGTTATACTACATACAGAGAGTTTTGCATTCATAAATCCTCGCGTATTATTTATAGTAACTAACTTGGGACTTGTGCTAAGCGTACTCACGCCAACGATAAACCAGTCTTAGATTGATTCACCATAAAAAATTGACCTACAAAACTATATGTTTAAACACTAATATAAAAACTTATAATGTTACAAGTTGAACGAAAAATAAGGTAATTTCAGGTTAAGGTTTATTTTAAAAAATATTCTTTATAAAAATCTTTAGATATTTTTTTGTTTCGTATAAAAACTATAGGACGATTATGAATACTTGGAAATAAGTTAAATAATTCCCTTTAAAATATTTTAAGTATACGTATAGAAATATTAAAATTATTATGAAGTTTATCTTGATTGAAATATTACATGCACTCATATGAACATTAGGCGCTTTAATCACATGTTTCGACACCGTGACCCGCCAAAACTAGCTAAGCAATAACTATTACACAATATGGTAACGGTAAAATTAGTTCGTCTTAAAGATTGCAATTCATGTACCATTATAATGAAGAATTATATAATTATTTGTAACTAAATATAACTTTCGACTTAATACAAATTATAAGATTTGTATAATAGTTGATTAAGTACATGTTTGTTTAATTTAACGTATGAATATTATAAAAGTATATAGGTCTATTTAGAAATTCGACTAATATAATAAATCTGAAAATTTTTGAGAATGTTTGAGTGTAGGGATGTTCGTTACTCTTTTATAAAGAAACCACTTTACAGATTTTGATTAAACTTTACACTAATATAGCTTGGACACCAGGATGGGAAGGAAATTGATATCACATTTTTTTCTAGATTCCCCATGATCGCTGTGTAAATTTACTATTGATGTCATTGTCGGTTGTAAAACAATCTGATGTTTTAACATACTTTGTAGTTTATACAATTCTCTGTGAACTAAAATTCTGAAATTCAAGCGGACAGTCACCGGCAACAACTAGTATGACTCTAAAACTTATATAAATTGACTTGAAACTAAAATTATTAACTTAAAAATTATGGAAAATATATGAGACTAATTTATAATTTTTTTTATATCTTGTGAATTACAGACATGGGAAAGCTTAAGAAATATGTATAAATAATAAGTTAGCCAACAATTTCTTTACATATACATACGGCAATTGTATTATGTAATTTAATTTAAGACTTAGATATTTAAGACTTTACATAGTTTTATATTTTAAATGGAAGCTTTTGAAATATTTCTAAAAGATATAAAGTCAGTCAGTAATTATAAGTATAAGAACAAACCCGTGATCTTAGTGTTCGGTTCAAAATGAGCAGAAGATGCTATCACTTTATAAGGCAATGTGTTTAATGGTTGGGACCGGTGTTGTCCATGATTGGGTTGGTTCGCTCGATCCTTGACACACGCGTCAACTGGCGCTCCATCGGGAAAACTATTCACACATCCACAAACGAACAGAAACTTTAATAATTTAACTATCATCCTAAACCACAGTTACAGTCAAAGTTCTAAATCAAACTGGCGCACGCATCTAACTACGCTCACTTTAATAACCCTATTTGGAAAGGATCTAGAATTTAATCTTGTTTAACGTTCAATTAAATCAGCATGTGTTATAATTTAGACTATGTACATATAACGCTGTTAAAACTAATTTACGTCATAGATGGTGATATGAATGAAAGCAAATAAAAAGCTTTATTAGTTACCAAATTTTATTACAAATCTCTGTTACAAATACGCCCTTCACACTTTATTAATTGTAGAAAATTATTTTAAACATTTATCTAAATTTTCTTTACTGGTCTCTCTTCATCGGGTGATAGTTCGGGATTTATTTTAACGTTTATATTAGTAGCTTCAATATATTCCAATATTTCGTCGAGCATCTCACAGTTACCGTATTCTATTTCGTTGTCAAATTCATCGGTCCCTTGCAGTTTAGTTGATTTCATATTAGCGTAATCACAATCAAGATCATCGGAGGATTTGAATGGATTTTTATCATTAATCTGATTGGTTATAATGTTATCTTTTGTTTCTTCATTGGTTAGTGTTTGTATGCTGTTGTTAGGTGTATTTTTCAGCCAATCCTGACACGTTATTGATACGCTGGATGCGTGAGTGAATCCGTAATAATCATCGACTTTCGAGTTCCTATTCGGTATGAATCCCGAATCATTATCAGCGTCGGATCTCTCCAGATAGTCGTAACCATCGTTAGTTAAACCGTCAATTGTTTCGTACACAGGTTCTAGTATCTCAGCCAATCTCTCACTCGCTTGTATTGATATTATTTCAGCGACGTGTAAGTTTGGTTTCATAGAGTTACTGTAGTCTTCTTTAGATATGACGCCGGTACTGTAAGTTAATCGTCTGTCCGTGCTCGTGACTTCACTCATCCTTGGATATTTATTTCCTTTTATTTTTGATGTTACAGCTATCTCTGTTTTCTTGTATGTAGCTTTTATGAGAGCGTGCACCTTTTGGTATAAGAAAACATTAATTATTATTAGGAAGTCGAATTGAAAATTTCAAAAGATGTTTGATATAAATTGTTCAAATTCCATTTTTAAATGATATTACAAATTTTCAGAATAGGTACTTTTTTATATTTAAATGACTTAATTTTTAACATGAAACACATATTTCTATATTTATTAAAGTTGAACCTCTTTAATTTAGTTGGCATTATGTTTATTGTAAATCCTATTATAATAAAATTAATATTTCGTATAGTAAATAAACTAAATATTACCTCTTTATTAACATAACAATACAACATGGCGACTATAAACCCCTGCAATCCCTCTATAGAGTACGCCACGAAGTAATATATCTGTTCCAATGTGCAGTTTTCGGTTTTGGGACGAATTGCGGTGAAAAGAAATTGAGTCCCAAATATTGGTATTAAAAACAGTGTTGCCTTCGTTGTGCTCCTATAAATGAAAAATTAATATACATGAAAAAATATTCTTTATTTACTTCCGTTATTTCTATTTAGTTTTGTATATAGATAGTATTTATATTAATAATAAATTTAAGATAGTATTTATTATTAAACTTGAAAGAATTCAGTAGGTAATCAGTAAGTATACTTTTACTTTCCAACCATCTCTTTAATTTCATTGAACATTTCATGAAAATTAAATTTTTTTAAATACATACAACTCCGAAAAAATTAATAACCAATTGATTTTGCAATGAACTGATAAGGTATTGGCTAGATCTAATACGTACTTAATACTGTTTTTCTACGAGAAACGTAATCATTCATCATCATCAGCCTATCAAAACCCACTGCTGAGCAAAGGCCTCTTTCTCATATGGATAAGGTCACAAAATCATTACATCAAGAAAAAAAAATTACTCTGATTTGAAAAACAGAATGATATAACTTATTGTTAGTGAGATCAAAAATTTTCACGAGTTTATTCATTTAAATGAAACTAATATTTTTCGGATTATTCGGATTACGCAACTTTATTTTTGTAAAAAAACTACATACTCACGAAGTTTCGTCTACTTTACAACAACCGTGATCACGTTCAGACGAGATATTTATTTACAAAAATAAAGTCGCGTAGTATAATCCGAAGAATATTAATTTCATTTCAGTTATTGTTAGTTTAATATTATGCCAAAGACCGTGCAAAGTGGAGGAGTTGAATTAGAAAGGCAGACAGGCTAAAGCTGGGAAATTGCCAAGAAGAAGTAGATCATCGTTATTATCTTACAATTGGTTAGCGTTCTCCGTGTTCCGTATATTAGTGAGCAGCACTCGCAGCACGTCAGCGAACAGCACCGTGTTGACAAGCAGCACTAGTACCCGCGGCCCGTCAAGTGCCCATTGAATATGCGGCACTCGGTACACGACCCAACACGAGTGGTCGTTCAATAGAAACATCACCGTTGACCACACAATCACCGGGATAGTACCGACCACTGAACACAAACAAGACATTACTTGTACAATACATTCGATTTAATATTAGTATTTCTTCATTGCAACGTATATTAAAGGTTTAGAATAAATATGTCCTAATACATTACCCAAAATAAAAATTTATATCAAAATTGAAACTACATACGGCGTTAAAAGTTTTCCGTACATATGTAAATATGTATTAGATTGAATTACGTACTTGAATCTCTCCGTAAGTAATCGTTGATTCGAATTGGACATAAGGATATATATGTATAATGATATTTAATAATTTCCTGACTATTTATTTAAATAAAACTAGTCAGTATTATTCGCATTACTACGCGTATTTTATTATTTAAAAAACTTCATAAAGCCTTCGCTTCGGTTACTTTTCAGCAACCGTGATTACAAGTAGACGAAACATTCGAATCTAGTAAGATAAGTTTCATTTAAATATATAGGTATTATATATACAGCTGCGTGCAAAAGTATTAGGCACCCCTATTGTTAGTCACTATCTCATTAGATAGCGGTCAAGTGCGTATTTTATGGTTTAGCTATTGTATTAGCGGCAATTTTTAACCAAATTAAGATAAAAGAAAATATTTATGACATCCAGGTGTGCTCCTAAGGTGTTTCTTCGAATTTGCTTTTTTTGCGTTTCGGGTTATAGTGTGTTATCAGTGCTTGCAGTGAACATACACGTCTTCTACGCAACTATTCCTATCACAATTCTAAAGACTAACATTTAACGCGTTAATCATGCCGAAAAAATCTGAACTTAGTGCTGAACAGCGTCTAAGAATTAAGATTTTACATGAACAAGGCATGTCTCAGGTTAAAATAGCCCGAGAAGTGAAGTGCTCGCGATGTGCAGTTCAATATGCTATAAATCGCTTCAAAGAGACTGGCATCCATGAAAATAGACCAAGAACAGGCAGAAGAAAAGTTACTACTGAACGGGAAGATCGATTGTTGATTAGGCAGTCTCTACAAAACAGGAAAAAAACTGCTTTAGAGCTCGCTGCAGCATTATCTGAGGCAAAAGGCAGCGCAGTGAGTGTTTATACTGTGAGAAGAAGACTTCTTAAAGCTGGATTAAAAGGATGTAAAGCAAGGAAGAAGCCGTGGCTGTCAGAACACAATAAGAAAAATCGGTTGGAGTGGGCACTCAAACATAGAGATTGGTCAGTGGAAGATTGGTCCAACATACTGTGGTCAGACGAATCTAACTTTGAGGTATTGTTATTTATTTTATGTACAATATTAAAACACATAAATGTTTTTAAAATAACTTACTGCAAGAAAAATAATAACTTTGAAAATAAATGGGTTTTTTTCGTTTGGCATAGGTGTTTGGAACACCCGGTGTGACTTATGTTAGGCGAAGGGTTGGCGAAGAATACAACCCAGAATGTGTGATTCCCACTGTGAAGCATGGTGGAGGCTCAATAATGATCTGGGGCTGCATGGCTGCCGACGGAGTGGGCGAAATGGTGTTGTGTGAGGGACGAATGAATAGTGTTAAATACACTGAAGTTCTGGAAACAGCACTAGCAACGTCGATAACGCAAATTTTCGGTGATACAAACACCGATGGCCTGAAATTTCAGCAAGATAACGCCACTTGCCACAAATCCGCGCATACCATGAAGTGGTTTGCTGAAAATCATATTGATCTTTTGGACTGGCCACCACAATCACCAGACCTCAACCCGATTGAGCATATTTGGTCCATTTTAAAGAAAAATATCCGCAGGCACTCGATTAGCAATAAACAAGCTCTATTGGCCGCGTTACAGCAGGAATGGAAAAATATATCAAGAGAAGAATGTTTCCGGCTGGTAGAGTCAATGCCAAAAAGAGTGGCTGCGGTTATTAAGTCAAAAGGTGGACCTACAAAATATTAATTATTTTCTTAAAATAAACCATTGTAATCATAAATGCAGTTTTATTTACACTCGCTATGCTAAAACACCCTAAAACTTGTCTTACTGTAGGGTGCCTAATACTTTTGCCCGTGGCTGTATGACAGTTTCTCACCACCAACAATCCCGTAGAGATATCTGATGTCAATCTTCCGTCTGAACACAGCCACTATCCTCCTATGTAAATAGATCCCCTCCACCAACATACACACGAACACAGCGTTGGAAGCTGCTCGTTCAAAGATAGAGACCACACGACACCACACCTCGTTTCGAGACATCACTGTACTATCCACACCAGTTAACTCGTCCATATAGATCTAATATAGACAATTATACAATTATAGTACCATACCAGATCAGAATTACCTATATATTATTAATTATAATAATTTATAGTAATTAAAAATGTGATATACTTTATAATTCTAAGTTTAACGTTTAAAAGAATTCTCAATTAATATGAGAATATAAATAATTATATTCTGATATTAGAATTCTCTTGATAGTTAACTAGCGCCACGAGATGTGGCCTAGTGGTTAAAAGGCCCGCCTGTCATGTATGAGTCACTTAGACATCACTGTTTATGCATTTCCAAAGAGGGTTGATGTCAGGCAGACGGCCGGTCGTAAAAACAATTAGCCAAAACTATTCAAAACATGTAAGGCAGACCCTGGCTAAAGCTGGGAAATTATAATAAATAGGATGTAAGTGCTAGACTGAGGATTATGTTACGAGTTGTAGAGCATTTAACATCTCAGTGGAAGTACTGCCTAATTAATTTCTAACAATATACATGAAAATCTTTACCTTATATACTGAGTAAATACATAAAAAAATGTTCTTAACGCAATCAAATGACACGATCCATTCAAGTAACTAAACTGTATCATGTAAGTACATTATTTTCAGAAAACAAGCTCTGATTTAATAGACTTACCGCACTCCTACTGATGATTACAAAAATGTTTCTAATTATGATGGCTATCAAAAGGTTCCTGTGTAACGCAACTCTTGTGATACGTAATCTCTTGTAGAAGAAGAATATGAAAACCGCTGGCAGACAGGTAATGACAGATACTCCTAACATAGCCACGTAGAACTTATACCGAGTTAGGAGACGAGGAGTTACACTACATGTGGTGTAGTCTGTCTGAAGCTGCCACGTACTGTTTGCGTGACATTCTTTATTGCTGTAATCTGGAACGAAAAGTATAATAAGAACTAATGTGAAGAGATTTGATGAGATCTAAGACTTTCGCGAGTGTTCATTTAAATGAAACTAATATTTTTCGGATTACTAGTATTATACATATTATTGTAAAAAAATACATACTTCCGAATGAATGATATTCTGATCTCGTCTGCCTGTGATCACGTTTCTTAAAAGTACCGAAACGTCGGGAGTATTACATATGTACGTATTTTATTATTTTAAAAGTTTTTAAAATTATAAAATTTGCGTAGTAATCCGAATAATACTAGTTTCATTTAAAAGAAAAATATACTTTAAAAGTTTTGCTGTAACTCTGCCCGCATGATCAGGTTAAACCAATACGTATATTAAGTTATGTTGAAAGTCTTTTCTTTTTAAATATAATTTATTTACCTACTAATTTTAGACGCATGGGACTGCCTAAAAATTTATACAAAAATGCTTTAAGACTTGCTCGTCGAATAGAATTTAGTGAAATACAAACATGCAGAGGTATATAAGTAAAGATAAACAATTAATCATCAGATAATTTATGGTTTTAATACGAGTATATCTTACGTGTACATGAAGGTCCCGAATTAGAGTAAGCGAATTCAGGGCAGTCAGACCACGCGACTGTTCCACTGTCTGTTGGTGGCCAACACGTCCAGCCGTCGAATGTTGCTGAACATTGATTATCTGAAATAAATTCAAAATTATCTTCGTTATATTTTAGAAAAACTATTAAATAATACATTACTTTACTTTATATTGCTTATATAATGTCAAGAGCCTGAGTAAAAACAGATGGTTTAAGTACGTCACGATATTATAATAAATTCATCTCTCAATCTTTATGGGTTTTGAAGCTTTAAGTTGAAGAAATATATTATAATTTACTTTGAATCGTACAATATTATATTTATTTATTTTTAATTATTATTATGCTTTCGTCTGGTACTAAAAGATGTATTCAAATCAGATAAATAGTTCTTGTAATATAACATTCACGAATCAGCCAAAAACTTTTACTTTAAAATATTATTATGTATAATTAAAAAAACATCTAATTGCAATGCAGTCAAATTATATTCCCGTTTATTTTCAGAAACGTATGAATTTAATCTGCGTATTAATATCAAAATCAGTTATTTCACCGTTATGATTTCCATTCATAAAATGACTGCAACAATAGCTCGCGGCGTAATAACACTTCTCCCATCTTCCCTGGGCTGATGGTACCAACGACTTTCTAATGATTGTAGCCACCTCCTCGATGTTTGGATCAAATGGAAAACACCCACAGGTGCCATCGTCTTTGGCCTGAAATATTCAATGATTTTATATCTATATTCATTTATCTTTTATCTATCACACATATCAGCGTCTTTGTGATTTAATTAAAGAAATTTACACAATACTATAAGACTTTTAGAGGCCACGGTTGTTATTAAGTTTTTTTTTTCTATAACATAGGATAATTTTTATAATATCCTACACACTTCATTCATATTTAGTATTATATTTCATGAATTAAATTAGAAGTTTTTAAATATATATACCGTACTTTATCACGTGATATTGACTAGTAATATAAAATAATTAAATATATACTTAGATTGCTATCTCTCTCTATCGAGTTACATAGATGTATAACTATAGATATGTTAAAACACATTGTACAAATCTAATCTATACAACGATATACAAAGGAATCTAACGTGTGATCGCTTTATTGATTACGAATAGTGCTACCTACATATAACTATTTTGATGTTTGTTATTTGTTAATCGTGATACTATGTCCACTAAACGATATTATTAATCGCCAAAGAAATCAGAAAGTGAATTTAAATCTACTTAAAACTATCATGGAAACATATTAAAACTCATTGATTAAAGTCATTTACTTACGATGATTATTATTTTTATTGGAAATCAAAGATACGAACGGCCGCCAAAATTCTTTGAACAATATCAGTATGTATTACAAGGTTATTGTAAAATACAAAGAAATTTATTAGCAAACTTACTCCTAGTTTGCATCGTCACACTACATACTTAGCGTTTACAGTGTTCCATTCATAAATCTCTGCACATTCAAATATTAAACGAATAAGAAACGGAAAACGGTTCGTATGTTAAGGAAAAGTAGTAAGTTTGCTGAGCCTCTCTATACAAAAATAATCGACGACATTGCTTATTAATGACTCCTTCATAAACAAAATATTGGTTTGATATTAAACTGACAGAACATTGCATCAAGTTTTATACAGTGAGACAATCTAAAATAGATTAATTAAATCAGCGATAAGTACTTTTCTTCACATATTGTTCTGCATATTCTATCAGAACGAATATAACTAAATAAAAAATCTATCTGGTATATAATATACCCACAATTTCCAAGCATGGTGCAAACTGGTTTCCATAAACACAGCGGGCATTCAAGTTGATGGGGTTTGCCCCGCCTTGGTATAAGAAGTTTGGTGTGTATAGAAGACATCCTCTACCGGCCACCCAACGGAAGACTTGCTCACTGTACCAATTGTTTCTGTAGTTACAACTCTTGCTGTTGTATATAGGTATGGCGTCTGGTGGTTCCTATGATAAAACCAAGAGGTATATTGTAATACATCATTAAATAATTAAACCTAAGTTGACAATTGCTATAATTATAGACACATTATTTATTAATTTAGCAATTTTAACAGATCGCTACATGTATTTTCGCTGCATTGATGAATTTGTACAACAGAAAGAAGAATTAGATATTTTAAAGAGTGAATAAAACTCCTGTCTGAATTCATAGCTTAGGAATTGCTAAAGATTTTCATTGCATTAGTTTCCTATCAACAACGAAATATACTGGTATATATAAGAAGATATATCGAATAATATTTTTAGAGTAAGACAAATAACTCGTCATTTTCATAAACTCACCTCACAGATGTATAAATTTGGCTTCTCACAGGATAGTTTTTCATTGCTCTGAACAGCGACCCTTGCCGTACGTTGATGCCAAACGCTGAGGTCAACTCTAACTGGATTCAGTCCGTTGTTATAATAACAATCGACCTGAAAATAATATGTTTAATACACATTTTTTCTCATAAAGGAGATATTTCAATGTTAATACACATAATGACAAATATAAATAGAACTCTTACTCATGAATCAGCTATAACAATGAATATCAATGTACCTACACATTTTCTTATCTGATTGCGACAAAGACAAGAAGGTTATGTTATTAAAATTAGTGCCTGTGTTTCAATGTTTTCATTATTTTTATTTTTAATTTAACACAAAAAACATGGGAAAATACAAGAAGAAAATAAACAGAAAAACCAAAGGCGACCTTATCACTCATTAGGGGTTTTACCAACAATATTAAAAGTTTTATTAGCAAACAAGGATATGTAAAGTTAAATAGTATCTTTCTTTCGTTAGCATTTTGCAATTTAGGTAAATATTTCTAAGTGTTGCAGATATAGCAAACTCCAACAACCTTTCCATAAGCGAAAAAATGTATGTATAACATTTTATAATGCTACTAAATAAATTTGCCAACAAATATAGATAACAAATGTAGATGTAGAAACAAATGTAGATACCAAAAAAACAATTTATTAATGTACTTATGACTATGAAGGAATTTTTAATAGGTTATGCTTTAAGTTAGCAATCTTACACTCGTGGCAAATTGAATGAAAGTCTCAACAGCGTTTGAAAAACGAAAAACAAAAGATAAAAAATTATTCAATGAAAATGTAGAGATATATCTTTTCTCTTTTGACACGAAGTACGTCATATCTTTCAACAAATAAAACTAGCTATTGAGAAAATGAATTGAACAAATTAATCTTGAAAATAAAATATTGCATTACTGTCTTTGTTCGAAAATTATTTAAAGAATAGCGAATACAGATAAAAAATATAGAATTCTTCAATGGATTCGTATGGACACATTATTGAATAGCGTTATAATTAGATACAGTAGCTTAGATAAAACAGTTTCATTAGATAGAAGTACCTAACATCTTAACAAGAATGAAACTACTATTTTCGGATTATACTGCGCGTATTTTTTAATTGTAAAACCTACATACTCCCGACGTTTCAGTTACTTTTCAACAAACGTGATCATGGGCAGACGAAATTTGAATCTAAAAAAGAATTTACAATTTACACATAATATAACATAATATGTACCTGATTACAAACAATCCACAAAACATAAACAGATATAAAAGTCTTAATTTCCAACATCATTTGTATAAACACTTTTACTGAACTTTGAATCCATCATAACACACACGGTGATAGAAATGTCCAAACTAGTTGAGTTTCAGTTGCATTGTAAGACTTCGTTGAGAAACATTCCAAAGAAGAAAAAATAACAACAGGCTTTGTATCTCAAGCTCAACATTGATATTTTCATTTGCCACCGCACTTGTAATTGTAAAAGACAACTGTTTACAAATTATTGTCAACGCAATCTATTGTTATCTGAGATTAATCACCGAATTGACGTGATTTGTCTTATCTAAATTCAAACTGTGTATTAAATTCGATTAATTTATTGCTTGGAAATGAAATTTATTCATTCGAAACAGAACGAGTTATTTTATATTTATTAAATACATAAAAAAAGGTTTCATAGTCTTTATTTTCTTTCTTTCTAGTGATGAATAGTCGGGATATGGTAACAAAAGAAAACACATGCAATTTAAAATAGATTTATTTTGTTTTACTTAAGACTGTAAAGTTAAAACAATTTTTATAGAAAGAATAACAGAAATCTGTTACAACTGTTAAATAAATATGAGATATTTTTTATACAAGAGTGTATTCTTAAGCGAGAAGACTTCTTCATCAGATCTAAAAAAAATTTAAGGTACAACAATTAAGTTGTTTCAGACTTAAAGAAACACACAAAAAAAAATATTAATTGAGCACTCCTTGTTGTTTAATAACATCATAAGCAAAAATAATGTCCACATTTCTAAATTACAATCGAAAAATATATTATAAATATAAAAAAATGGGGTAAACGAACGAATATAACGATAACCTTTTCAATTTGGGTAATGGTTTAAAAGATACGATATTTTTTTTAATTTATTTTTATAAATGAACTTAGTTGATTGCACCAAAAATTAAGATATGAGATCTGAACCAGTTTACAAACAAATCAATTTTAATGTGTTATTTTATACTTCTCCTGTTCCGTTTAGAATAGTATTTTTTTATGGGAAAAGGGGGCAACCGAGCAGACAGCCTACCTAATGGAGGTAATACCGTCGGAATAATAAGAATAAGCATAAACACTTAATACTTTTTTTTTTTTTTTTTTTTTTTTTTTTTTTTTACTTGGAGGAATCCTATTACGGACTTCCCGTGCCTGGGCAAATTTAGTGACACGGGGGTGTGTGGGGCTCGACCTAAAGGCGTTCGGCCACTACCCACTAAACCTCCAAGGCCCAACCTCTCTCCGCTGAGTGCCGAAGCCACGGGAACAGTCATACGACCGCGACTCCGGCGACGGGTGACCGCTGGCCAGCTGACCAGCCGTCTCCTCTTCGTTCTCTTGTTCTCCGCTACTATTCCGCGGTGCGCAGAGGTGTACGCACCACGGCCCGCTCGGGGACTCGTTGCAGTTGCAGTGAGGCGGCGGTGTGCCCACACCGTCACCTCGAGTACTCCAGGCTAAGGCGGAGGGATGTCACGACCAAGGGTGTTGGTGGCCGTACGTCGTCGCCTCCGTCTTCGTCTTGAGGTTTCGAGCGCCTCCCTCTCTCTGCCGCGCTCGTCTTCCTCCTTCGCAGTCATCACCTCCTCGGCGAAGGTGGCGACCGCAGTCCAGTCCGAGTCGCTGCGCAGCATGGCCTTGATGACCGCTGGCAGCGAGGTGTCCAATCCGATGGCGGCTCGTAGAGCCGCACGTTGTCGCGTCCAGTGAGGACAGGCTGAGATGGTATGTTCGGCCGTGTCCCTTTCGTCGCCGCACTGGTGGCATCGCGTAGTGTCTTCTTTTCCCACGACATCACACAGGTACCTGCCGAAACAGCCATGCCCCGTCAGGACCTGAGTGAGTCGGAAGGAGAGCGCGCCGTGTCTTCTGTGCACCCATTCCCGCAGGAGCGGGCGGATGGCCGTCACCAGTGCGACGCTGACTCGGGGCTGCCTGAGTTGGTCAGTCCACAAGGTGATCGCCCTATCCTTGGCCAGGTTTCTCATCTGACGCACGGCGTCTGGTGGAGGGTGTCTGCCCTCTGCGCGCAGCCGGTCGCAGTGCCAGTACACATCAGCGAGGGACCTGGCGTCTATGTCCCAGGGGACGGTTCCCGCGAGCAGGAATGCCGCATCCGCAGATATTGTGCGGTAGCCGCGGACTGCTCGGGTGGCCATCACCCTCTGCAGCTTCCTTAGTTGTAGCCGGTTCTCTGGGGCCAGTTGTTGTCGGGCCCAGATCGGCGCTCCGTACATTGCCATGGAGCGCACGACCCCCATGTATAGCCTCCGGCAGCTGAGGCTCGGTCCGCCTAGGTTTGGCAGCAACGAAGCCAGGGCTCCAGCCGCCTTGGTGACCTTTGTAGAAAGGCGACGGAAATGCTCTTTGAAGGTCCATCTGCCGTCGATGGTGAGACCCAGGTAAGTCAGTGATGACGATATGTCGATCCTAGTCCCGCCAATCACCACCGCCAATCCGGGTGGAGGTCTTTTCCTTGGTCCGTGGAAGAACAGCGCCTCGGACTTGTCCAGGGCGACTGTGAGGCCCAGCGCCCGAATCCGCCGCACGACTTGCGCCACCGCAGCCGTCGCCAGGATGGTTACGTCCCGGTGGGACTTGCCCCTACACACGACCAGCGTGTCATCCGCGTATCCGATTGTTTCGACGCCATAAAGGTTGGCGCCGGAGAGCACGGGGTCATATCCGATGTTCCACAAGATGGGGCCGAGAGCCGACCCCTGTGGAACGCCGCACACCACTTCTTTTTGTTCCCAGCCGTGCTCAATCGGGTATTGGACTGAGCGCTCTGAGAGGTAGTCCCCAATCACCTTTTGCAGGTACTTCGGGACGCGATGTCTCCTCAAGCCGTTCCTGATGGCTTCCCAGGGCAGGGAGTTAAATGCGTTGGAAATATCCAGCGAGACGGCCAGTACAACCCCACCCCGGGACACCTCCTCCTCTGCAATGTCGCGCAGGCGTGCAACCGCCCCAATGGTGGACCGGCCCGGACGAAAACCGTGCTGGTTCCCGCTCAGGTTCGGACCGACGTGTTCGAGATGCTGGACAAGACGAGTGGCGAGAATGCGCTCAAGGATCTTGCAAATCTCGTCCAGTAGAACAATGGGGCGATACGCCGACGGCTGATCTTCTGGCCGGCCTGCCTTCTTCAGGAGCACCAACTTCCCCGTCTTCCAGCGCCTTGGTACTCGACCCTGGACCAGACAATTGGTCAGTGCGGCAAGTACGTGAGACTCAAGGGCTCGGATGGAGAGGACCCACGCCTTGCCCGGAACTCCGTCCAGGCCAGGCGCCGTGTTCTTTTGGCCCATTTTGTGGATCACTGCCTTCAGTTCTTCCGCCGTGACTGGTGGTATGACCTCCTCCTCCTCCTCCTCAGAATTGTCCTCCCGGTGAGTCACAATGTGTGTTTGATGCTCGGCCCCAGACGGAAATAGGGCCGAGACGACTCTGTTTAGAAGTTCCGGGTGGAGATTCTGCGTAAGTGGTGGGGCCGCCGGGCGCAGCTTTTGGCGGACCCATTTATAGGGCTTGCCCCATGGGTCGTCGTTAAGTTGTTCCAGCCAGTCCTCCCACGCCTCCCTTTTCGCCTTGACAATGGCGTCGCGGAGAGTGAGACAGGCCTCGCGGTACGCCTGGTATAGCGAGTCCTCCTCCTCTACATTCCTCTGTCGTCGCCTGCGGTAGCGCTTGAAGCGTCGACGGGCCGCCGTGCACGCACGCTGGAGCTGGAATAGCTCGGGCCGCCACCAATACGCCTGTCGTCGTCGCCGTCCATTTGCGTTCACCCTGGGCATGGAGGCATCGCAGATGTTGCGCGACGCCTCGTTCAACCACTCCGCACATGCCGCGGCTTCATTTGAGGGCAGGGGAGCCCAGGACGCCACGACGGCAGCCTCCTCTAGGAGTTCACGGTCCAGTCGTCTCATTGACCATCTTAGCCCTCCACTAGATGGTAGTGTGGGGGTCGGCTCCGGCGTATGTGAAATGACGTCGAAGCAGATGAACCGGTGATCCGACAAGGTTTCGGTGTCCTCCTGCACCCGCCAGTTGGCGACACGATGGGCGGCCGACGAGCTGACTAGGGTGATGTCGATAATGGACTCGCCCTGCCAACGTACACAGGTGCTGACAGTGCCGCGATTTGCAGACACGAGGTCCGTTGACGCCATCCAGCGTTCCATCACACGGCCTCTGGCGTCCGTTACAGGGCATCCCCACAGGGAGGATTTTGCATTGAAGTCTCCTGCGACGATCACCGGGCCCGACAATCCATTTACCACGCTCGTTAGTGAGAGGAGGAAGGAGTTGAACTCCGCGAGACGTCTGTTGGGGGAGAAGTACACCCCCACCACGGTGAGGGTCCCCAGTTGAGCGCCGACGTATCCCCGACCCCTGAAGGTTGCCCCAGAAGATAAGGGCGCGATGTTAGGGCCGAGAACTAAGGCGACCGTCGAGTCCGCGTCTCCGATCCAATCAGTTCGTGGGAGGACACGGTATGGTTCGCACACCACGCATATATCCCTTGACCACTGCGCCGCATGATGAATGAGAAGATCTTGCGAGCGGGCGCAATGGTTCAGGTTGCCCTGCAGGAATCGATGAAGTCCTATTATTGAGCTTCCATTGGGACCTCCTCGGCCACTGGAGCCGCCGCTGCAGGTGGTGTGGCGGCGGGCTCCTGTGTGGTGGCGACGGGATTCGGTTTTGCCTTCGCCTTCTTCTTGTCTTGCGTCTTCTTCTTAGGTGTAGGCCTCTCACAGGCCTTGCTTCCGACGCTGTGAGTCGCCGGCAGACCTTTGTCGGCGCATAGCACGCAGTGCGGTGCATTCTCACACTGGGTGGCCGGATGACCTGGTTGACTGCAGCGGAAGCATAGCCCACTACGGTCCGTCTCATTGGGACAGGTTGCCCTCGTATGGCCCACTTCTTGGCACTTAAAGCACCGCATCTGCCGTGTTTCGAGTAGGGTGACGCGTACCACGGTCCACCCGACATTTGTCCTGCAGCCCTTCGCGGTCACTCTTTTGGCGGCCTCCACTGGGCATCTCACCCACGCTGTGCCGCGCCCTCGATTGCGCCGAATCTCGCCGACTTTCACCTCCTCCGCCGCGCAAAGGCCACTGTTGGCGATGGCGGCCGCTATTTCGGGAGCGGACGCGGAGTCATCGAGTCCCGACACTCGTAGTTCGGCGCACTTCTGCGGCCTGGATATCCGGGCGTCCTCTGCCAGCACTTCTTTAAGCCGGTCTGCAAGGAGGTTGGCCTTTTCCTTACAGCCCGACCCCGACACCTCGAGCATGCGCGCCCCGGTGACAGCCACTTTAAACTTGACAGCCCCTATGTCCATGGCCGCCAAGTCTATCCTCTTCTTGGCCCTTTCCAGGACGTCTTTATAAGAGACGCCCCGGTCTGTGGCCTCCGGCTGCAGAGTGATGACCACTGCTGCCGATTTCGGGGCCCGCAGTCTTCTCTGTTTGGGCTCCTTTTTCGGCGGCGGAACTGCCTTCTTCTGTCCCTTCCTATTTGAGACTTTTGTCCATTCCTTCGAGGGTGTGCCCTCAGCTGCGCCCGGAGTTTTGGGCGGACCGTCCCTCCTGGTGGCTGCCGCCTCCTTCGCCGCAGCAGTCACTTTCTCCCGTCTCTTCCTCTTCTCCTGTCGACCAGGGTTCGCCGGAGGTGTTAGTGTTGTCACCTCGGGTTCTGGGGCAGGGGTTTTGGGTTTAGGCCTTGTTGCGGCCAACTGCGCTCCTTGAGCGGCCTCCTTTCTTCTGTCAGAAGCGAGGGGAGGCCGAAGACGCGGCTCGGGGAGGAGCCTGGCTTCAAGGCCTTCCAACCGCGCGTCAAGCCTCGCGCTCGACAAGGCGACGGCCTCGCGTACCGCTCGTTCCATGACTTCTTTGAGCTCCTCAGCAGGAGCCACACGGGCAGCCTCCGGGCTCGCCCTGCGGACCTCGCGCCTTACGGCCGCGAGCTCCTCTCGTAGGTCCGAGAGCTCCTTTGAGAGACGGGCATTGGCCGCCTCAAGAGCCCTCGTTTCCTCCGTTCTCGTGCGACTTAGTAACGTCGCAGTGGATTCTCTGATCTCCATCGTGGCCATTTTGAGGGCCTTAATAAAGGGACCACTTAGATTTTTGGATTTGGTGGCCACCTTTGTTATGACCTCCAAGCTCTTTGCGATCGAGTTGCCGATCGTTGCCGTCGTCGTTTCGTCAACTTCAAAACCCATCGTCGCGTCCGTATGTGAGACTACCGACAGCCGGTGTGACCGTAGCTGTGGTAGTACTCTGGTCACTTCAGAGATTTGCCGGTCCGCTTCTGCTTGTTCTGCCAGGCGCTGAGCTCTTCGCTCCTCTGCAAGCTTCTCTTTCCGCGCCTGGTGCAGACCGACGTATACGCCCGTGGTGGGCGGTCTCCCTCTCCCCCTCTTTGAGGGCTTCGAGGTGCCCTTTTCAGGTCCGGGTACAGGGTCGTCGCTCCCCCGCCTCTTCCGGAAGCGACGTCTCTGCGCTTCCTCTTCCGACCCCGATCGTAGCGAGGTGACAGTATCACTGCCACTCTCGTCCGAGTCAGTTCCCCCTCTTGCGCGGAAGAACTTCCCTCTCGATGCCGTGGTCACGGGCGAAGCCGTCCGCGACCCTTCACTCGCCGTCCCTACATCGGTGTGCATTTCAGAGTCCGTTAGTCTTTTGCCAAAGTCGTCGTGTGTTTTCCTATCGGTGTTGGTTTTTTTGTTAAATTTCTCCATACTTGATCCCACGAGTATGGGGGAAGAACGGTCCATCCGGGAGGTGCCCCCTGTTCCCGGATAAGCCTTTTAGTAGCAGGATGTCGGCCGGTATCCTGCACTGGTCCGCAGTAGCGACTAGCACACCCGCTAGCCACGCATCCCCTCGCGCTGCGCCGCCACTTGAGATTCGGGGTAATTTTTTATAGAGGTTTTCTTCCTCGCGGGCCGGCCAATTAAGGCAAGCCCCTCGGTCCCCCACTGAGCCGCGAGACATGATCCACGTCGCTGAGATGGGGGTTACGAGCTCCGTGAGCCATGCCCACTGCTTTCGCAGCAGCATGACTCACACCCACACGGCCTCCCCAGGCCAGGACCGTTACCCCTAGGGGCAACGGTCCTATTCCCCCCCCGTGACTGATTGCGCCGGTGTTACCCGACGGGCGATGGGTTCGTCACATCCCGACGCCAGAGGTAATTTTTTAGAGTGGTTTTCTTCCACGCGACCCCCGCCCGAGGGCGGCAGTCCTCGGCCCCGCACCATGTACGGGGTTACGAGTTTGACGACCCGGCAAGCCGAGTCGTCACTGGTTTTGGTCCGCGCCGGCAAGCCGGTAGCTCCCATATCTGGGAGCCGTTCCCCTATCCGCCACCTGGGGACGCGCCCGGTAGCAGTACCAGAAACTGCCCCGGGAAACACTTAATACTATTACTACAGTATTACTACATATATATGCCATAATCATAATTATAATAATGTATTTAGGAAAGGTTTATTGGGATAAAAAAATGAAGTCATTAACATTGTTTTAATCAAATTTTCTTATTTAAATAATAACTGAACTGAATATAATTAAATTTATATATATTCTTATACGTAGTTACTATTATATCTTATAATAATATTAGAAATTGACATATAATATCCTAATCATTATTATTAACTAGCTTTTTCCCGCGACTTTGTCCGCTTTAGTTTCATGATTTGAAATGTATGTATGTATATCTATCTAACCAGGCGAACTGTTTCGCTTTAAAGCCAAATCCGTATAGCCATTCTTGAGTTTTAGATTTTATAATTAACATGACTTTCTTTTATATATATAGATTTGGTTTTACCCGCGACTTCATCCGCGTTCATTTCGGAATTAGTAATACATGTATAACTGACCGGTCGAACTGTTCTACTCCGCCCTAGAAGCCATGAATAGCCAGATAAGTTATTCTTTTTTCTTTTTCAATCTAACAGAATTAAATATCCTATGTCCGTCTCCTGGTACTAAGCTATCTCCCCGCCAATTTTCAATAATATCCTTACAGCCGTTCTTGATTTATAAATAGTGTAACCAACTCAACTTTCTTATATATAAACATATATTTGAATCGTCACATTACAGAAGTAGCATTAACAGTTCTTTATTAACAAATGTTAACAAATTATATAACAGTATTAATGACGGTTATTGATGAGAAACGGGAAAACGTGAAATGCTTCATAAGTAGTAAAACGATGCAATGATAGTAGAATAAGCTTACTCATGTATGAACAAAACGCATACACTCATTACCACTTCGTATCTATGTGATCACTGCTATTGAAAAATGTAAATAAATATTACAATAGAAACACTAAACATGATTTATGACTAATAAAGCATAGAAAATTTAAACGAAAATATATATAGATATACATAATCGGCGTAATATAATTTATAAATATAATTTTAAACGTAACAAAAGGCTGTAAAAAAGCTCGTTTCAAATCAACATTGTTGAAGACAGTCATTACTTGTCATTACTGCCATACCATTTTTTAATCACTAGCCTTACTCTAAGTATGAATAGTCAAACTTATACGTAGATTTGTCCGTTTTTAATTCATAGACTGACGAAGATACTATCATGCGAGAAGATTAGTTAGCAAAAATCTAGATGGAACCTAACATTGCTCCATAAAATGAGTCAGGCGTTTGTTAACACCGACTTATTAAATTGAAGAAAAAAAAAATATAAGCTTATTATAATTACCTTCCAGATATTATTGACAATAATAAAAAAACCAATTACCAATGTGAAATTTAGAATTGTTGATTAGCTCAATTCCAAAAACATATCTGTAATAAGTATCATTTTAATGTAAATAACAATGAAAAAGGGGTCAATGAATGTAGATTAAAAAATGTATATTTGATAAAATCGGTAAAAGATAAGAGTTTCATTAATTTTTAATCTGTAGCCTACTTGTTGATATTTATTATTTTTTTTGTTTTTTATTTATTAATGTACCAAAACGAAAAAATAGTTACAATTAAAGTATTATAAAAGAAATGTGATGTACAAAGGATAACTTATTTCTCAAAAGATATCTCTATCAGAAACCCTTTTGATAGAGGAAATGAGAAGAGAAATGTGGCATAGGTACAATAAAATGAGAGAAGGAAAAAATAAAAAAGGGGTATATAGATATATATATATATAAGAATACTAACCAAATTATAATAGTATAAAATACAGATGCTATACTTACATAGATATATACATAAATATATATAAATACATAAACATTACATATTATATTAAGGTAAAAATGATAGAAGATGTCTCTTAAGCCGATATTTAAAGGCAAATGCACTTGGACCCTCCTTGTAAACAGAAGGTGGGAGTGAGTTCCAAAGTTTTGCACCTTGGACGGAGAAGGATTTACGATAGAATTTAGTATTAAAGCAGGGGATATCAAGAGGATTTTGTGCAACACAGGATTATTTACTTATTTATTACGATTAGGAAGGATTCTGGGGGAGGAAAATTTAAAACGCTCGAGTAGGTACGGGGGAGAAGAATGTTTGAACGTATTGTAAATTAGCATTAAAACATGCATATTCCGGCGGAAGCGGATAGGGAGCCACTTAAATTTGCTGCGGAATTCAGAAATGTGGTCGTATTTACGCAAGCCGAAAATAAAACATTTATATATAATAAAATTTTGATCGAATTTGAAAAAAATATAATTAAAAAATGATTAAAATAATTACAGACTTACTTTATTCGTAATTTTATTTGGCTATAATGGTTTTTAATTTTATTATTAGAATAACATATATTCAAACAAAGGAAATGCTATTTTTAAACTATACAAAGAATAAATATATTGACGTACAACAAAAGCACAAAGAATATTATCTATTTAGCGATATAATCAATAAATTCTCTACAATGAATTTAACAATGGCTTATATTAGAGATGGAACAACTTCTTATACTTAAACTGAACTGTTGACCTTTATGCTAAATGTATCTATTTTAAAAATTATACAAACAATAATTTACGTTCAGAAAATAGCAGACTTACACAACATAAAAACGAATATAAGAAACAATACTAGGAAGTTATAAAAATCAGAAATAAAATACATATATCATGGGGTGCAATATTTAAGCTGCTATATACCTGTTAAACAATAATATAACTTATTTTTAATAAGACTAAGTCTAATATAGAATTCTATTTAATTTGCTAGGCGGGTTAATGTATGTTTGTAATTGGTAGATATGGTTAGTAGAGAAAGCGTTATCATATGACACGTGTCGTTTTATAAGATGACCTCTCCGTTAAAACGTACAAGATATAATCTAATTAAGGTCCAATCAATTATCGATAATTAAACCGCCTTATATACATGACTATCATACTTCAAAAATAATTATGGGATTTGCGAAAATATATCGTCGGGGATAGTTCAAAATTCGCGTAACTACCATTGGATAATTCCACGTATCTACATTGGAAGCAGCTTATCAGAAGAAAGTTTAAGCTGAAATATTTTCTATATTAACGACTTTTAAAGTATTTTTTTTAACAATTAGTAATTATTTAGTGTTAAATTTATTACTAATATTGAAAAAAATACTTTATAAGTCATTAATTTACCAAATATTTCAGCTTAAACTTTCTTTTAATAATTTTCTTCCAATGCAGATAAGCGGAATTATCCAATGCTAGTAACGCTGTTTTGCACTATTCCCGATGGTATGACATTTTATCAGATAAATGAGACTATTGTAGTGTAGCTGAAAATCATTTATAGTGAGTTCGATCCTTATTTATGTCATTTATTTCAAACAGCTGACTATATATACAGGGTGACTGGTGAATTACTATCAATATTTAAGGAGAATACTCGGTACATGATTCTCATTCGAATTATGTAAAAAAATAGGTACTTAATTTCTGACCAAATTTCCGTATAAATAAATAAACCGTGGACACGTTCCAAGTGTTCCAAGTGTGGACGCGTGCGGCGGCGTGCTGAAACAACACTACGCTGCCGCAGGCGTATGTGTGTGTGAGTGTATACCTAATCTGTAGGGTGTTCACACGATTCGTAATTAATTACATAACTTTTGGTTAACTTTACTTAGAAGTTTATTAATATATATGTTATATTAATTTTTATTTTGTCATATATGATCGTCAAATATCACGTCCTCAAGTATCGATAGTAATTCACCAGTCACCCTGTATATATCATGTACGAACTTCAAAAATTGTCCCAATATCATGTTTATTACAAGTGTGCATCGTCTTATTACATACGAAGCTTTCTCCGTTTTTCATTTCTATACTATATACCTATGATTTGTTTTCTTTATATTTTGTTACGCATTTTGTAAATCTAAATTATTGATATATAAAAACCTATGAAAAGGCTACCTAATGTTTCAATTCTACAATTAAATATCTTATTGTTTATTTACGCAAGATGATAATACGGTTGTATAAATTGGAACACAAAATCAATATAATTCATAAAAATATTAAATTTATATTTAATCAAAAAATAACCGGTTAAATTGTAACTTAATTGATACATAAAAATTTGCTTTTAAATATCCTTGGTTTTTTTTAATACTAAGCGGCAAACGAGCAGATGGCCTACTTGGTGGAAGTAGTATAAAATATTGTATGAAATTTAATACGTCTTCTATACTTTATGTCCTAAATACTCTTACTCTTTAAATTA